AACGCCAAAGCCATGCCCCAACCAGACGTCATATCCTTCCCGGTTTGGCTATCCATGTTCTGAGCGGCAATCGGAGCATTGGGCTTTTCTTTATTATCGCTTTTTGTCTTGTTACAAGTCCTCTGAGGCATCATGGGCTCCACAAAGCCTTTGCTGTGGGCTTGCGTATTCCTCCTCATCCTGAAGCTTGGAAAGAGCTCGAATTCTGATGTTTTCCGCAGGGGTAAATAGACAATAGATTGTGGTTCTTCGGCTCTGTGCATCGGGCCGGGGGATGCCCAGCGTCAAGTTGGCAGAAGTGCACAGGCAAAGTCCAAGGTCTTCTTCGAAATGTCTTTGGGATGTTAAACGATGGCATGTGCAGTGTCGGAATCCCGTCCTTGAATGCCGGCCCCGCTGTATCCCTTCATAGGTAAAGGCACGGGAGCGTGAGGTAATGGTGGTCCTGCTGGCATTTCTAGCAGCAACAACAGTAGCAGCCGTGGCAGTAGGTATACCCCACCATAACGCACGAGCGTCGCAACTATCCACTACAAAGAGAGCACTAAACTTTTCAGCCGACACCGCAAACCCTCAAGCGTCAAAGTCAAGTACTCAAGCGGCGAGACACCGCGAGCTTCAGGATGTTCATGGTCGGCGTTACATTTATGCAGCTCGCCTCCAACTACATCAAGGCATGCTGCCCGGTGCCATACTGTGCTTGTGATACAGGCTCCAATGTTTACCTCGTTTATGTTGTGTATGTGTGTACGTACGTATGTATGTATTTATGTACGGCGTTGGAAACAAGTCGGTTCAAACATTGGGACGCGTTTCTGCGGTCATCGCGGCATCTTTCAGTTTGTTCGGCTTTTGCTCCTAGTGTTTCTTGAGGCTGCGCTGAGCCGTGTCTGGCTAAAGCGGCCTACCCCGCAAGCCTTGTACATCTTCAAGCTATATCATGCTTCAGGAAACAGTTGTTCGTATTGGGCTTGTTGCGGCTGTTGCTTCGTTTTCTATTGAGTTTCGCTTTCCATTGAGGCTTAAAGAGACCCCAAGTCAACCTGCATCGCCGCTGGTTGGATTTTTGGGACTCCGCAGCTTCGATTGAACTAGCCAGTCAAGTCAGCTTCCTGACGCTGGCCGCGCAGGAGACGGGTGGAGCACAGGAAGAGCTCATCATGTATTGGGGTTCGCTTTCACGGACAATGATGACACTGCAGCGGGCTCAGGATGATTTCGAGGGTGGAGATGCTCAGGCACCGTAGACGTGAAGCGCTAATGGGTTGTGCAAGCTGGTAGGGTTCGATTACTGTTCGAGAAATGCATATCATAAACTGCGGATTCTGTTGGTTGTGTTGCGACACGGCCTCTCACACGCGGGGAGGTGCTGCAAAGGCATGAGGAGGTGAAGAACTAAGACTTGAGGGAGTCGAGTGGCCATGAGCCAACAGCTCACTCTGAGTCAGGGTCAGTGCCCCTTAACGCGAGGCCCCTGGTATGCCTACAGTCGGCACTTTTGGCACTGTGCCTGTTAGCCCTTAGCTGTCAGTTGCTGTAGCCGGGACTTACCTAAGGTATATGGCCATCAGTGGTGGTATAGACTGGCAAGACTGCGTGCGGCCTCTGCGCATGGTCAGTGAAGCTCTGGAGACCGAATTCTCCGTCTTTGGGTTCTTTCCACGTGTGCAGTCCGTACTAAGCCACCGCGAATGGGACTTGTTGTGGAGTTGTTCGGGCACATTTTTCGATGTTGTAAACAAGATGTTCTGATGTGGTCGAAAGTCACATTGCAATGTAAATTCAGAGCCTTTGAGCATGCCGCCGTTATTGGTGTGAAGATCAACTGATGCACCTGTCCCGTGCAGGAGTACATGTTTGCAACCTACGTGTTCTTCACCATCTTCTGCTGCTTGAACATTGTCCCTCGGCCCGGCATGTTGTCATGCTGGATGTCCTCTATCGTCTTTTACGCGACATGCTAGCATCCCACCAGCCAGCTCCACCGAACCGCGGTGCCTTTGGTTCCGGTCTCCTGCCAAGTCACAGTCACGGGGCCATGAAAGGAAGATGACAGAAAAACGAGCCCCACGAACATTGGCCTTTCCGACCTTGCCAGAAACAACTTGCTAGTCTCAGTGTATGGCATGTGTGTGTGTGTGTGTGTGTGTGTGTGAGTGCTTGTTTTCCTGATTCTGTTCTGGACTCTGGAATGGGTCGCATGATGGACCAGATGATGTGAAATCGACGATTGCAAGCTCGCCAAGGTTACAGGAATCTTTGTGGACAATGCCAAGGCTCTCAAAGGTGCCGACGAGGATGCGATGTACCTGGAGGCATACCCCAATCGGGTAAGTCGTGCTCGCTTTGCATGGCTGTAAGAGCGGCAACGGCTGCACCACATTGTTTCAGTTGCACCTAGCTGCTGACCGGATTCTGTGGACCTGAGGCCTGCGATAATCGCGGCCCCCCTCAATCTCGATCGTTCTTGCTGCACCACCTTCCACTCTAGAAGCCGTCGCTGAGAAGGGTCACGGGCTTCCGATGCTCCTGGGAACTTGGACCGGAGGCGTTGACCGAGAGGAAGCGGTGGATCGCAGACATCAAGGACTGAATACACTCTTGCTGTTCGACTTCGTCGGAGGTCAGCAGTTGTTGTAAGTGCTGGAGACTCGAGGAGGTGGCATGCTTGGAAAACCATACTACCACATCTTTGCTCGTGATTCCAAGGATCAAAGAGGGCAGGATGCGGCCGCGTTGTTACGCAGCAAGGATAAGGGGCTACCGTATGTATGCACAGAGAGACCGGCAGGACATGTTCCGTACAACTAACATTCATTTGTCGGATGACAGGGCATCTGTCCACACTACGTGCCCAAACTTCCTGGGTCGATTGCTGGAACACCGCCCTGGCTGGCAGGACTTGTTCATTAAACTGGCTCACATCAATGGCCAGTTCACCCTGGAAGATTTCAAGGAGCAGATGTACAACATCAAGGCTGTTGCCACGGTTGCTCCAGAGTCAGTCCTTGCTTTGGGCCCTGTGCCAGGTTCAGACCCTTTTCCGCAAGCTCGGCATCAATTTGGACGGCATCAACGCTGAAGAACTGTGGGACCCGGAAGCTCACTAGAGCCTTTGCCACTTGCAGCAGCCTTTCCCCACAAGTTACATGCTTCGGAGAAGAGGACATTCTGGATGCAGACCAGAGCGGCTGCATCGACGAAGAGGAGTTCGCCAAAGGCTTGCCCCTGGCCTAAAGGTGTCCACAACAGGGGGGCTGGGTTTGAGCAGTTTTGGTGCTTCGGACGGGCCAGGCTTTGTTCGGTCCGGCGTGGTCTAAGGTACCGGCACCTGCCAGAGTTCGAGAATTCTGAATTAGGAAGGAGTGTTTGCGTTTTTCGGAGGCCTTGGCCGAAAAGGGAGGCTACACTCATGTTTGTTCTGCCGTCCCAGGAAGTTTTTCCAAGGGCCGGCGCAGAGCATCCACGTCTACCGCCTGATGCGCGAGGGTTCGAAGCTCCACGACAAGGCTTCTTATGTGGCTGAAATCAAGCCTTGCAGGCATTCACTTCGATGTTTCTTTTGCATAAAGCAAGAAGCGGAGTCGGAACTCCTGGGTTCTAAATCTCCAAATACCTATCATGTGGCTTGTTTATAGACGATCCAACCGAGCTGTTCAGGTTCATCGCTGAGCCTAAAGGCCCCTTTCTGGTGCAAGCATCTGCGCTTGAAGTCATGCTCAAGCTGACGATTGCAGCCTTGGCAATTACACGAGGCGTAACCAGCACCAGGGGAGCTTTCGTGCAGGTCGCATGTGTGGCGCTACTTCGTTCGAAACCAGGGCTCTGCCAGGGTTATGGCAGAGTGCTGAGGCTTCAAATCAAATCCATTCAGATTCATCCTTTGGAGACGTAGCCAAAACGTTCTCAGTGGCTTCGTGCACAAACATCTCTCTTGGGAGCTAACTCCGGGCTTGCGCAAACTGTCCCTTCCTTCCCAGACCTTCGGGATAGAGCCCGGGTCGAGCCGCTTTGACAGGTGGAGCGCTTGACGGATGTTTGCCATGAAATCTTGGAGCAGCAGAAGCTCCAGATGCCAGAATAAGAGCGGAAGATTCGACGCAGAATTTGGTTGGTGTCAGTGACAGGATCAGGAAGTTTCAGATTTCAGATGCTCGTAGATGCAGCCATGCCTGTATTCACTGAGACTAGCTTCACCTTGGAGTTAGATTCCGAAAGATGCCACAGACCCATTGGCCAGCAGAACGGCGGATGGCACATTGCTGCTCCACCCGTTACGATTATTACTGCAAGCGTTATTTGCTTGAACCTCATTACAGGTCCACGAATGTGGAGCCTTGTTTCCCGCTGATTTCTCTTCTTGGCACTGATTGCAGTCACAGCCACCGAAGTGGAAAAGTCTCTTTGGAGATCAGATGTAGAGCAGGTTCGAAGGTATGCCAATGTATGCCATACCGAGGCGAACCGAATCATTCAACAACAGCAGTTTTGAGCGAAGCAATCAAAAAAGACTATGAACCAGTTGCTACCCCCGACCCGCACGGTGGGTCCAGTGCCTGGGCGGAGAAGTCAGCTCCAACATGTAGAAACCTACCTGTGCATGAGAGTGGCGAGAAAGCAGAGTTTTGCTGTCGGTGCCCGATCGGCATCTGTAAAGTTTGCGGAGCATCTGAGGCATCCGGAAGTCAATTGGACATTCTGACATTCCATTAAGATTCTTGATAAACTCCCCGAAAAGATTATGTACAATCACTACTTTCCGATCAGCTTGCCTGCTAAGATTACGATGGAATGGTTTTGCATGAAACCCGTCTCTTGCCACCGTAAAAGAGCGGCATGACTACACATCAAAGACAAGACCTATAGTGGTGATTTCTACAGTATTTCTATGGCTTATGGTAGCCATACGTGCATCAATATACACATCGTACACATGCAGATGGGTAGGTAGGTCGGTAGGTAGATTTCTACGTAGCCCTATAGCGGCCGCCACCTTGGAGGCAACCCCTCGCAGCACGCCGCGGCGAGCCCCAATCTGCTGCGCGCCGGGCGTTGGATTCCCAGTCGCTTTTGGGAACCTCAGGGCCCATTTTTATCGGGATCTATACGGCTGTTGTAGCAGCTTCATCGGTGCTGTACTCCCTCGGTATTCCAAAATCTAGGCGTGACTTTTTGTGGGAGTGCCTTGTAAGCAGCGTTCTGCTGTTTAACCAGAATATGTCCATTGGGACCCCCGGTTTTATGCAACAGTGTGAAGACCATGACTACTCGCAAAGTAGAAGTTAGCATCACCGTTAGAGTCATGATTAGATGATCTTAGATAAATAGATGACAAGATCGCCTGGCCACGCTTAGATTTCAATAGCTGTGGTCTCCTGGTTTTGAAGACTTTGGGTTTGAGAGGGAACTCGAGGCAGGATTTGAGGTTCAGCCGTGAGAAGAAGCGCTCTTGATATAGGTCGCTATTGCTTTGGGCATCTCTCGGCGCTTGAGGCCTTTGCAGTGTGCAGCGTGGAGAAATGCGGCTGCGTCGAGGACCGCACCCTTGCATGCTTAGCATTGCTGTTTTAATGCATGGCACAAGCAAGTGGTGCTTGCGGTAATAATAGGTGTAGGCCGCAGTCAATAACCAGCAGATGGGGCAACATGTCGCCCTGGTGAGGATGTGGCGTGTGCTGAGATCGATGAGTCGTTCTCCACACAGGTGGGTACTACAGAATTCTCATTAGCTTTCGGTCAGAGGCCGTGAATCGGAACGGGACATTAAATTATAACTCCCTGGACAAGCAATGCAAGTTGGCATGTCCATGGATTGACTGTCTCATTGCTATCAGCAGTACTACCTGTCATGTATCATTACTTGTGTATGACAACCACAGGACCTTCAGCATGAAAATTCCATGCAATTTTCAGGTAATGGCAAGTTCTATACGCAGCTGTATCCCAGGCCTCGGACATTTCGGAGGAGGCATCTGCCAGCGGCACGGTAGCTTCGGCGGTGAGGGTGAAGCCCTGGCAGTACGTGGAGGCCTCCTGACACCTTGACCAGATGATGGCAGGAATGGAAGAATGAAAGGGGGTGTTGGGTCTATAGGGCTGTTTAAACATGTAGTGGGGGCTTTGGACTGCTAATGTGTTGCGAATTGCGCTTGTGTCGTTCTGCGCGCGAAACAATACCGCAGACAGGACCTCCAATTTCGATCGTGGAGTGATCGTGGTATGTCGTATCGGTACCGGTTTCTGCTTTGTTTGCTTTCGTGGCAATTTTCTGCCGGCTTGCTTTATCTGTCTGTCGGTGGACGCAATGTCAATACTACCAGAGACCACCCCCCCATTCATCGCAGGCTCCATCGAGATTCAATTTGATCTGGCATGTCGTTTGCCGCATTGTCACGCAATCTGTCGAGAAGTCAAGCATTGGTATTCTGGACTCACGGTTGTTTTTGGTTGGATTGAAAGGGAATCTGCAGCAATCTGCAGCGCACCTAGCTACAGGATTTATGGGGGCTTGTCGCGCAGTTTCGTCGCAGTGATGGCCAGACGGCCTTGCAGGGCGGCAGGGTGTCGAGTGGAAAGCGAATGAGCCTAGCTTTCCTTTCCATGCCATGCTCGCCGTATGTCAAAAGAAGGACTGGACGCCGACCCACTTTTCAACTCAAGCTTCAATGGTCCGTCCCGCACAACGATGCTCAGCGTGAGCGACGAGCACCTCCAGTGGTGGCTGGACAAGGGCGACGGCCGGAACGACGCTTGGCAATTCGAAATTCACTTTTGTCGGAGCTCGCAGCGAGCGTGCCGCCAGAGCCGACGAGGACGGGGTCGGGATTTCCACACAGACAGGTTCCGTCTCCTGACCTACGGCGACTTGACTGGAAAGAAGGTTGATTGGCTCAAGACGAGCCCTTCGAAGAAATATGTGGAGGAAGAGCTGCAGAGGCTCGCCAATCTCCCCACGGGGAAGGACAAGGGTGGCGATGGTGCAGCTGGAGCCGGGCTGGGGTTCGGCGAGGCCCTTCTTCCTCAGCCAGATCCCTCGGAGGGGGACGAGGCCCTGAAGGGGCTAGCGGACCTTGAGAAAGAAATTGGTCAGGGAAAGCCTGGCCGAAGGAAGGGGGCAGAAAAGTCCAAGGGCTTACCCCCCAAGGGGGAGGCTGCCGACAGAGAGGACACCGAGGTCAAGAAGAAGAAGAAGAAAAAGAGGAAGAGAGCCGAGGCCGCTGCCGCCCAAGGGCGAGCTCAGAGCGCTCCAGCCCGAGCCGGCGGAGGAGAATGGTTTGGGCAGCCAGCCCGGGATCCAGAGGAGATCAAGAGTAGCAGTTCGGTAACGAGCCGAAGCACCACGTCAGATGACAAGAAGAAGAAAAAGAAGAAGAAGAAAAAGGCGAAGACCAAGACCGCCAAAGACAGAGGCCCTTTTGGAGCTGGGGCCAAGTTGAACTATGGCACTGTCATCCCTGAGTCTGGTGAGTCTTCCGATGACAGCCAGCTTTTTCGGGAGGGCCCCTCGTCCGGAGGAACCAGCCTGCAGCTTCAACTGCAGGAGTACGCCCTGAAGCGTCCGGGGCGCCTGGCTTCCAGACTTCTGCAAAAGATGCAGGTGATGGTCGCGAAGGAGGGGGGGCCGATGACAACCGCTGCACGCGACAGCAGGACACCGCCGGTCGCAACAAACTGGATGCTCACGGTGATGATGACAAAGCAGCCGGTGATGAGGCTGGCCCGCGAGATGCGCACTCTGGCCATGGCCCTCGACGAGATCGCAGCAGGACGCTACCAGCACGCGGCCGACGTCATAGCCCAGCGCCTGAAGGCGCTCGAGCTCTTTCAGAACGACGGGTCGTGGAACCGCGCCCAGTATCTGGAGCTCCTGGATGCGGAGGGGCCGAGCCTGCTGGGGCGAGACGAGGCGGTGATGGCCTCCAAGGAATGGGCAGGAGAGTTAAGGATGAGGAAGCTTCAGTCGAAAGGGGGCGGCAAGGCAGAGCCGCGAGGAGACCCGAAGGGCCCGGACAAGGGGGATCCAAAAGGAGGGAAGGATTCCAAGAAAGGGAAACCGGGCAAGGGCAAGGGGGCCGCCCCCCACGAGTGAAACCGGAGCTGCCGGCCACGGCCGAGGCAAAGGCTGAGGCCGGTGAGGAGCAAGAGCGAGCCACAGCCTTTTTGGGACGAACTGTGCGAGGGAATGCTGGACTTTGACCTGGGCGACCTGGGTGATAGTGAGGATGAGGGCCTCGCCACGGGGAAGAACCTGGCAGCTCATTGGGCTAAGCTAGGGCAAGCTCTCCCAATGGAGGAATGGCGAAAGAAGATGAAGGCGGCGCTAGACCGAGAGCCTGCGGTGAGACCCGTTGGCAGGCTTCTTTTTGATGCAGGGAGTACGCCAATCCGGACGAGTTGCCTCAGGGCGCCGAGCCCGCCTCTTCCAGCTCCCGTCCAGAACGACATGGCGACCTCCTCCCGATACACCCTGGGCTTGTGGTCGAAGGGCTGGAGGGCATCACGACTGCAAACCTCCACTGGGTCCGCTTCATTGTATTGTGCCTCGACTTTGTCTACTGCGCCGGCTGGTCCAGGCCAGTCTGTGTCCCGATGGGTGCCACACTCTACCAGAACCAGAAGGTGGCCATCAAGAGGGTGGCTTCTCAGGTGGACCGCCTGATTGCACGTTCTGAGCGGCTGTTGTCAAGCAGCTGCGGTCGAAAACCTTTGACTACAACGGCCACCCGGTTGACCATATGCAGGACCTAAGCTTCTCAAAGGTCATCAAGGCATGGCCCCGGCAAGGAACGGCTGCTGTGGTGGACTTGAAGGGCTGCCTCCCCGAGGAGCTCCAGGAGGCGCTCGACCACCCGGAGGATTACCTTCTTCCTGAGGCCGAGCTTCCCGAGCGGCATAGAGGGTCTCGGGTGCGCGCATCTGAAGAGGAATGGTTTAAGATTGTGAAGTCCGGTTACGACCGAGGAATGTTCGTGGCAGTGAGCGATTCCGATGTTCCCGTTGATAAGCGGGGGCACCTCATCACAAATGGTGCCGGGGGCGTGGCAAAGGTGAAGCATGAAGGTGGGCAGGTGATTGAGGCACAGCGCTTCATTTCGATCCTCTGCCCCACCAATGACGCCATGCGCCTTTTGCCGGGCGCTCAGGATCAGCTGCCCTACATCGGGCAGCTCACGGCAATCTTGGCCGATAAGGACTCTTATTTGGTCCTGGATTCGGAGGACCTCCAGTCGGCGTTCAATCTCTTCCGGATGCCGCTCCAATGGGCACCCTTCTTCAGTTTCGCCCAAAAGGTCCGGGGAGACGCTCTTGGAGGGTCGCGGCATGAAAAACTGCGACCTGCCCTCCGTGTCGTGCCAATGGGGTGGACCTCGGCTGTTACTCTGGTCCAGGCCGCCATACGGCACATCGCATACAAGATTGCGAAGATTCCTCCCCACGGGGATGTAACCATGGACCAGGCTTTGCCCTCGAGCTCCTCGATGACCGTCCTCTACCTTGACAACTTTGATGAAATCCGTCACGTGAAGAAAGAGATAGCGGTAGAGGAGTCGGGGCAGCCCTCGCCAAACCATGTGAAGTTTATCGAGGCTTGCGAGGCCCTTGGCTTGCCACGGAATCAGGCGAAGCAGCTCTCAGGAGCTCTCAGCGGAACCCTCCAAGGAGGAGAGATATTGGGAAGAGAAAAGATCATCCGGCATGCATATGAGAAGACGGTGGAGCTTATCAGCTTGGGCCGGGAAGGCAGCCTTCGCTGCGGCGTTTCGGCGCCCCCTGTACTCGGTGCTGCAGGAGGTCTATGGTGCGCTGGAAGTGCCACGGGGCGGGGCGGACCTCACACTCCCCCTGCCGGTCATCGACGAGGTGATGCTTTTCACCGGGCTTCTCCCGCTGGCGGAGACCGACCTGTCGTCTGAGCTCTCAGGGGAGATAAGCTGCACCGATGCGTCGCCGACCGGGGGCGGAAGTTCCGTGGCAACTTCCTTCAAGGATAAGGCCCTTATCCTGCCCGACCCGATCGAGGACCTCAACTTTTGCGGCAACTGCCACAAGGAGCTCTCCGAACCTGTGCCGCGGACCTACAAGTGTACCAGGCGGTGTGGTCTGAGAATGTGCTCCCTCCGGTGTGCGAGAGCCCACCAAGAGACGTGCTCAAGGAAGTGGTGGCACTCCCCGAGTTTTGGCGAGAGGTTTTCCGGAAAGGGCTACCCGATGTCAAAGGCCATGGGGCTGAAGGGCATCGCGATGCAAACCCCCCTCGACTACGACGTCCCAGGCGACCAATGGGACTTCAGGACCGATGAGGGGAAGGAGCGCCTGGAGGAGGCCGAGCTCGATGGCGATCTCATGTGGTCCCATTGGTCACCAACAAGGGTGAGCTTCTCTAAGTGGAGAGGACAGGGCCATTGGGATCACAACGGACGTTGGGATTATGGCCTCCCTCGCCTTCGGGACCGAGAACATCCAGAGGGCCTTCCCAGGTTACGTCAGCATGAGAATGTCACGGTGAGGCAGGCGAATGCGATTGCGAAGCGGGCCCTAAGAGGCCTTGTTGAGGCCAAGCGCCGTGGGCGTTTCGCCTCGTTGGAGCATCCCTACGATTCCTTTTTGTGGGACCTGCCCGAGGCCAGAGCTCTCTACGGAGAAGGTTGGCACTGGAGTGTGTTTTCGTGCTGCTGCTTTGGTGGCACAAAGGAAAGATGGCTGGGAATGCTGCACAATTCGGCATCGGTCCATGCCGTCCTCAACCAGCCAACGTGCACCTGTGTTCAAAAGCGACCCCAAGTCGGGTTTGAAGAGGACGAGGGTGAAGACGAGGAGTACCCCTGGCACCTGTGTCTCACCATGGCAGAAGGAGTGTACGACGAGCTCACCTCTCTGTACACAGAGCCTTTTGGGGCTCGCCCCCTCTCGCTGGATGGTCTCATCAAGCATCAGCTGCAGGGGTCCACTCGAGGCTTGCAGCAGCAAGCTGCAGTGGACTGGGCAGTCCACCAGTGCCTCACCTTCCTCGAGACCATGGACACAGGCCAGGAAAAGGAGCACCTCTCGTGGCTGCTTCGCCACACCAACCACACAGGCTGCGACGTCAGGTTGACAGACAGGGGAGGGGACGTGATTGGGAACCGCCCCGGACCGTACCCGGCCTTCCGATGGCACTGGCGAGACGTCCTGTCATACCGCTGGAAAGAAGAGCAGCACATCAACGTGCTGGAGATGACGGCTTTCCTCACAGAGCTGAGGCGAAGGGCGCGCAATGCAGATGAGCTTGGGAAGAGGTTCTTCTGCATCATCGACTCCCTCGTCTCCTTCTACGTGCTGGGAAAGGGAAGGTCGTCTTCGAAAAGATTGAACAGAGTGAGCCGCCGCATTGCCAGTGTTTCGTTGATGTCTGGTTTGATCCCCGTGAGCCTGTGGACCATCAGCAAATGGAATTTTTCCGATGGTGCGTCAAGGAAATACGAGCCGAAATGATCATCTTCGGTTCCTGGGGATCACTGCAAAAACCAGACGCTCTTACGAAACGGCTGTGGCGGCCTTCTTTGCTTATGTTCGCGCCCTACGGGGCAGGCTTCCTGCGACCATGCAGGCTCTTGATGATGAGTTGTCAGAATACATAAATCATCTTTATCAAGAGGGTGACACGCTGACTCAAGCGGGATGGACGGTGAGCGGCTTGAAACGCTTCTACCCCCGCTGCCGGCCACATCTCCTCACCTCACAGGTGTTTCTTCGAAATTGGCAAAGAGTGCATCTTCCCAAACGCACTACGCCAATGACCTGGCTCGGGGCAAAAGCCATGGCGGCAGCGGCGCTTCAGGTTGGCCGCCCCGATCTGTCGTTGATCATCTTTTTGGGGTTCGCTTTCTTTCTTCGCACTATGGAGCTCCTTGCCCTGCAGTCTTCTCATGTGAGACTTTTTCCTGAAGATGGAACTGTGATCATTGCCATCGTCTCCTCGAAAACTTCCCGGGGGCTTCAACAATCTTTATCCCTTCGGGAACCCGGCCTGGTCGCGGTTCTCCAATTTCTCTTTGACCGGGCACGCCCGAGTGGTCTCCTGTACCAATTTTCAGTGGCCGCCTTTAGGCGGGAATTTTCTTCTTTGGTGAAGGCCATTGGTCTTGAGCCTTCCGAATACCTTCCCTATTCCCTCAGGAGAGGGGGTGCCACTGAATTCTATCAGCGCACTCAAAGCCTTGGTCGCACTATGGTGCAGGGAAGATGGAAGGACTCTCAAACAGCTCGTATCTACATCGACGATGCGAGAGCCACGTTGGTGCGCCTTCTTTTGCCCCCGCCCACCACTGCCCGTCAGACTTCTTTGGCTTCTCTATGGCGGGTGGCTACGCCAGCAGGCTGACCCTCTTGGGACAGTTGGCTTGGGATGTTGGCGCGGGGAGACTTATGTTGTAGCTGGGGCCCCTCCTACGGGAGAGATCGACCTACGGGTCAGGACCATGGCGCTGTACCTTAGCCTTTTTCGGGCGGCATACGACCGCCCGCGCCAACTTTGATTACCTCCAGCTCCTCCGGAAAAGGAGTGTCCTGGTCGTGAATACCCCCAGTGCCTAGAGCAGCGGAGTGGATCGTAGCACGAGCCTTTCACGACAACCACTCTGGTTTCACGCAAGTTTCTGGCTCGCCACCACCGCCCCACCGCCACGACTTATGCTGTAGCTGGGGCCCCTCCTACGGGAGAGATCGACCTACGGGTCAGGACCATGGCGCTGTACCTTAGCCTTTTTCGGGCGGCATACGACCGCCCGCGCCAACTTTGATTACCTCCAGCTCCTCCGGAAAAGGAGTGTCCTGGTCGTGAAATATATATATATATATATAATGTAATATAATATAACATCTATACACATACGTATAAAAAAATTTATTTATATATATATATATATACACATGTATATATATATATATATATATATTTTTTTTTTTAGGGGCTGCCCCAAAAAGTGGTGGCACAGGCGAGGCGCCAGGCCCGGCCCACGACACCGCCGTCCCGGCTCTCGACGGCTCAGGTGGGACCCCGGTCTTTGAAATCTCAGAGGTTCGGAAGCTTTCGGTCAAAGGCAAGCGATGCATCATGAAGGCCTAGGTGTCGCCCCGTGTAGGCTGCAACTCTAAGCCGGATTTCGTTGTTTTTGTTGGAGCTCTACTGTCAGCCTGCGCAGGTCGTCATCAAGTCGCACCCGTGTTCACAGGCGGTGCAGGATCTGCTTGCATACGCAAGTACACTAACAAGCATAGCATGCATTACATTGCAAAAAAAACGTGCATTACCTTCAATTGAGTTGCAGTGCCTTGCATACCGTGCATGCACACGCATACATAAGTGACAGAACTGTTGCGTAAAAGTAGCGGAATATGTATGCTTGTGTGTACTAATACATACATAATTACTACATACATATATATATGGTCACCCCCCCCCCCCCATGACAGACCATGCCCTTTCGACTCAGTCGTAGTGCATGGTGTGTGATCGGGGGGAGGGGGCACTCAGCTTTCAAAGCCTCAATTCCAAAATTTCCAAAATTCTCTCCCCTAACTTTCCGGATTTCCAAAATTTCCAAAATTTCCAAAATTTCCAAAATTTCCAAAAAGTCCGCCCTTATGTTTTGGAAAAATCCTGTCGACTAGGTCGGGAAATTTTGGAAATTTTGAAATTTTGGAAATTTCGGAAATTTTGGAAATTTTGGAAATTTTGGAAATTTTGGAAATTTTGGAAATTTTGGAAATTTCGGAAATTTTGGAAATTTTGGAAATTTTGGAAATTTTGGAAATTTTGGAAATTTTGGAAATGCGGAAAGTTAGGGGAGAGAATTTTGGAAATTTTGGAAATGCTGGAATCTGTTCTATATATGACTCAAGTAAGATTACTGTGTAGTGCTTACTATGTAGTGTATCAGCACAACCCTCATCCATACACGTGTGCTCTGTAATTCCTTTCTTGGTAGGACACCCGCGCGCCTTGTCGTGCTAGTCTCCGCATCGGACCAGATTACTTGCAAAGGCAAGGGCTGTCAATACTCATGCCCATATTTACACGAATATCTCTCTATCTATCTGTATATCTATATATACATATATGTATTGATACTCCTACATATAGTATTGCCATTGAACATACTGACATTGATCATTTGTTGAATGCTCAAGCTAATACCAGCATTACTACTAATATTACACTTCTATAAAGCTTAGTACGAATATGCATAACACAAATACTAAGATTGATTAGTATTGCTCTTAGTACTCCTACGCATATCAATAACCATATTCATATTGATAATAATGTATAATAATACCAATACTAACACACACCTGTATGTACTAATGTACATAAACATGCATACCACCATATTAAAATACAAATCCTTTAACTCACTCATGAATTCAACTGTTAGAATTTCACGTGGTCAAGAGTAATAACAATACAAACATTCTTTCGAATGTATATCATCAATAATATGATAGTACTAACGCTAACACTACTGCTAATACTTAACACAAAATCTATACTAACATCAATATTTACATAGCTATTTATACTCCTACGAATACGAATACGTAAACCCTTGTGCGTTAACAGTAGTGCTATCACCAACACTAATACGGACTTTGATAATCTGCTGCATATTCAAGAATGCCACTAGTATTACCAGCATGAACACTCATATTATGGCTATTACGAGTATAAATAGTCCTACTTCTACTAGTATTGACATTAATACTCCTACGAATACCAATAGTATATTCATATTGATATGAAAACTAATACCATTACTAATAGACACCTGCATATACTCATGTACATAAAATACGTACCACTATCTTAAGATACAGATATATACATCAGTGCATTCATGTATTAATGCTTTGGCATAGGCATATACCCATATACCAATGTATCAATATACTTCTCGTTGTTGTATGAATATACTATACGAATATGTGACTATAATCATATACGGCTACTGCACTATGCAAGAATACCGACATGACAAGTTCGTATACTAATATGCCAACATACTGATATACTTATACATGATTAGATAAAACAGTAATATAGTACACATATTCGTACACTAATATGCTAACGTACGAATATACTGGTATGTCAATATACTAGTAAGCTAATACAGCAGTATAGTAGTGTAGTCATGCACCAGTTGTACTAACATGTAAAATATACTAGTATACAAGTATGCAAATATTTTGCTGTCCGAATACATTGATGTATTGATATACTAATCTGCTAATATACGAGACTATCAATATACTAACATATCAAAACTAACTAGTTCTAATATTGATACTAATACTAGCACTTCTGCGAATATAAGCTGCTGTTAAACCCAGCATTAAGACTGATACTGATACTACTCGTAGCAGTGGTGCTGTATTACTGACATTGACACTGGCACTAGCGCTAACTCTAACACGAACATGAGCACTAACACTAATTTATAGTTGGCAATATTGATACGTATACTTACAGCAAGCAATAGTACTAATATTAATAACAATACTCACCCTAATACCGATACTACCACAAGACTATTACGTAACTCATGTGCCGCACGTCTGGTGCTATACTATATACCTCATGTAACGGTTTTGCTTCACAGAATATCGTTGTGCACGGTGTTTTTTAGACCCGTGGTCTGTCACCGGGGGGGGGGGTGAGCTATATATATATATACATATAATGAAATATACACATACGCGAATGTTGTGTACATGCTATATCTGCCTCTACACGGTTCATCGCTGTGTATGTGCTCATTGCCTTTTCCGTCTAGCAGTAGCAGTAGTAGTAGTAGTAGCAGCAGCAGCAGGAGCAGGAGAAGTAGTCGTAGTGGAAGTCGAAGTCGGAGTAGTAGTCGTAGTAGTGGTAGTCATAGTAGTAGTAGTAGTAGTAGTAGTAGTAGTAGTAGTAGTAGTAGTAGTAGTAGTTGTAGTCGTAGTAGTAGTAGTAGTAGTAGTAGTGGTGGTAGTGGTAGTGGTAGTGGTAGTGGTAGTGGTAGTGGTAGTGGTAGTGGTAGTGGTAGTGGTAGTGGTACTGGTAGTGGTAGTGGTAGTGGTAGTGGTAGTGGTGGTGGTAGTCGTAGTAGTAGTAGTAGTAGTAGCAGCAGCAGCAGCAGCAGCAGTAGCAGTTGCAGTAGCAGCAGCAGCAGTAGCTGCAGATCCATGGTAGGTGTCGTGTTGCTGACCATACTGATTGTAGAGATCGTGCTGACGATGACAGCGGTGGCAGTGGTGCTGTCGCGAAAGCAGTCCGATAGCGGTGTTCTCTTGATACGCTCAAACCCAGATGGTGATGAAGTTGCGGCAGGTTCCTTCGCGCCGGCCCACGCAGGCCGACAGAAACATGTAGGTTGAAAGCTTTTCTTGGAGAGCCTCGGACGTGTCGCAAGTACAACAGTTCTGAAATCAGGCAGCAAGGCTGGGAACAGAAGAAGGCCGAATGCAGAGTGGACAAGGGTGCAGCATAAAGATGTCACAGGGAAACTCCTTACAAGTAGTGCTGCCCGAGCGTAAAGCTTCGACTGCAGAGTCAGCCGCGATGGTGTTCTTGCATGGTCTAGACTAGGGAACAGTGGGCTGTTCTTGAGAGCAACGAAGGGACTTTGAGAAGGTGTTTAAAACTTGTAGAGCAGGCAACCTGTATCGTTGCTGGGCTCATAAACACCCGACAGGATGAAAAGGCTAAAAACTCCTGTTAGCGCCGGAAATCAATAGTTCGAACCAAAGTTCTTGCCCCAAGTCCCAAGTTGTTGGCCGCTGCAAAACCGGGGTTGGAACAGCCATTTGATCCAATGTGGGCCCCTTCATCGCGCACTTTCGGCCATGGTTTTGGAGTTTCCATCGGAACGATACTTATTCTTGGCCCGGTCCCGACCAACTAATTGTGACCTGTGAGGTGCTCGTCCCCCCTGGCCGGCTCACCCAGGCTTCTGAACTGCAATTTGTTAGTCGTTTAGGCTGGTCAAGGTAGTAAAGGCCGGGGGCTGCTTACCAGCTCAATGCATGGCATCAACCCCGAACCCATACTGGCTCAAGCACGACGAAGAAATGAACTCAGGTTGGAGAACATAACCGTAAGTGCATCTTGCATGCCCACCTTTGGTGCTGCAGACGCAGACACGTGGAGGCATTTATGCAAACACAGACGCACACTCATCTGTTTCCTCGCGTGCACGCATGCATGCCGTAGTACTCCATCTCCACGAGAGCGGAGATCATGAGCATGGATGCTCTAGAACAGCAGACAAGAAGTACAATGCCCCAGGCAGACCCACTTCATCCGCGGTACATTGAAGCCGCCCACCAGGTCCAGGACAGCAGCTTTCACTTCCCGCAGGCAGACGCACTTTATCCGCGGTACGTTGAAGCCTGGACACCAGCTGAAGGCAGCGCTGGCGAAAGCAGAGGCCCGAGCTGTGGGGGCTGAGGCATGCCAGGAGGTGACGTGCTTGCAACCCGCGCTCGCTGGCAATGCCCATCTCACGCACGCCAGGAAGAGCTTGCTGCCGAGGCACTCGAGGCGAGAGAACAAGTCCTGTACCTGGAGGCGTGCTCGACGACAACAACTTCTCCACAGCGAATGGGATATGCCAAATGACTTTCGTATGTACCAGAATCAGTTGCACTGGATGGGCACCGCGGAGGAAGTGCAGGCATACCCGGAGAGAGAACAAGCCCTGTATTGCGAGCAGGACATGCGCGAGCAGAGTGTCAACGTTTCTCAGGCTCCGTGGCACTGGATGGGTGGAGCAGAAGAGGCGGAGGCAAGACGACAAGTCCTCTACAGCGAGTGGGAAATGGCGCGTGTCACCGACGATGCGCTTCTAAGCGAGGTATGGGAAATGCGTCCCAACGAATTCAAGGCGATGCCCAGACGAATCTGGAAGAAGTTGGCCAACCAGATATATGTCCAAACGATGAAAGCTCGCCGCCAGAGAGCATTGGCTGTTCAGAGAAATTCCTCTGTTTTAAAATCCGATTGAACAAGCCGCTCGACCGCGAAACTAGTTTCGGTAAAGATCGCGTGCTGAAAAGAGCTGCGTGATTTGTGCCCTTGGCTAGATCGTTTTACACCCCAGAAGTGAGCCGCAGCCGGAAGCTCCTCTACCAGTGAGCCGCCCCGGGGGAGCAACGGCACGACAGCGAGCTGGACGGCTGGGAAAAGCTGTGAACCCCTGCCTAAACAAGAAGTTCACTTCAAAGATGAGCTAGATGTTCATGAGTTCTGTTTTTCGTCTGGCAAGCCCAAGTTGAGTAACCTCTGTCTTCACCCGAACACCACGTCCTCTGGCCCCGGCAAAGAAGTAGGTTTGGCACTTGCAGCCTCAGGTTCAAGTCATCTCGGACCAGGTGACACCCGCGCAGGCCTGTATGCATCATCCTTTCTCCGGGAGCGGCGCATCTGTCGGAGGTTGAAGGATCCAGGTCTTCTGATGGGTGTCAGTATAGTCTCTGCGGATTGGGGCAGACTAGTTGGTGGCGAGCGCATCAGCACCCTGGTGTTCACCTGCTCGTTTTGGGGCTCGCGCAGTAGGTTTTCGTTTTCGGGGGTGGGGGGGATGATAACGCCCGTTCCTACGGCGACCATGCCCAAAACACTGGCACTTACAGTGTTCTTGCAACATGATGCAAGAAGGATGCTTGAGATTTCTGGAACAACTGAAACAAGACCTGCCGTCAGAAGGGCTCATGTCTTTTGTGAACAGGCCTTAAAAAACTGGCATGTGAGGATTGTTTATTTTTTGCAATACATAATACAAACGGACGTTTGACGTTTCTGGACAAGGGGCGCTCAGACGAGCATTAATTTGCAGCGTTCTTGCCTCTGGCACAACCATAATGCAACAGTGTGTTTGATGTTTCTGGAACAAGGCGCCCTGTCACAAGCGTTCGCGTCTTGTGTGAACATGACTAAATCTTTGCATAACATACTTCAGGAGGATGTTGGATGCCTCTTGAACAAGACGCTCCGTCACGAGCAGAGCATTCGACACTTTCGCGAACCCTCAACATGTGTTGGTATTTACGGCATTGTTGCTTCTTCCCGCAACATACGGCCGGGCCTGTTGGTGCTGTCACAAGCGTTCTTTCTTTGAGCGGAGATGCATTAGGACCGTTTGTCGACAGTCAGAATCACCAGCTTGTCCAAAAAGAGTACTAGTTTTAGGCGGTTCTGCAACAACCTTGTGTCTGAAGAAATTTAGCTTGTCACCTAGGAAATACGCACATTCATGTGCCACAAAACAACCAAGGCTCCTTATTGGCTTAGTAAGGAATGAAGGAAAGAGGTCCATGGGTAAAACATCCACCAAGGTCCTGGCGCGCGTGTGCCGCGTGTGACCTAGTAACTAGTCTGGTGTCACCTAGGTTTTTTGATCCTGGCTGCTGAAGATTCCTGAGCAGCAGCACTGGGGGTCGTTTTGATTTGAGGCTCTAAGGTTGGCCTTAGAAAAAAGGCCCGTTAAAGCCTCGGTTTCCGTCAGTTCCTCCGCTCGTCTTGCGGATTTACTGTTTCAGACGTGTCATCTTGGAGGTGCTGTCGGCGCGGAGTGATGTCAAGGCCGCTGCGGTGCAAGTAGGGCCACGGAAATGCTGGCCAAATATAGGTGGAAAGTGCGAGCTTATCGTTTAGCACCAATGGTATGATAATGAAGACGATTGTTCTGGACACGTAGCGTGGGGCCTGGAGCTTTCCAAACCCACTCTTGAGAAACAGCCCTGAACACGTCGAACTTGAAAGAGCTGGGTGATCAATCTCAATGACAATATTTGCATGCAGAAACGCTGGCCCCGCATCCTTTTGTTGCATCATTGTCGTTATCACGGTCTGTCTTGATAGCAAGTAATTATTGCTGCAAGAGTTCGCATTTCTATTGGCATTGCTGCTGCTGCTACTAAGCTACTAAGTACCACTACTACTACTACCAGTATTGCTGCTGCTACTGCTACTGCTACTGCTACTGCTAATTCTACTTCTAGGTGGGTGTTTTGAACAAGGCATTGTGGGGCATGATGTCCTTCCTTCATCGTAGTCTACGAGTTACCTGCAGAGCGGGATCCGCGCGATACCGACAAGTGGGAGCCAAAAACTACTACTACTACTACAACTACTACTACTACTACTACCACCACTACCACTACCACTACCACTACCACTACCACTACTGCTACTACCACTACCACCACCACCACCACCACCACGACTACTACTACTGCTACTACTACTACCACCACTACCACTACCACTACCACTACCACTACCACTGCCACCACCACCACCACTACTGCTACTACCACTACCACTACTACTACTGTACTACTACTACTACTACTACTACTACTACTACTACTACTACTACTACTACTACCACTACTCCTCCTGTTGCTACTTCTCCTCCTACTGCTACTGCCATTGCTGCTGTTACTGCTACTGTGACTGCAACCGCTGCCGCTACTGCTATGGCTACTGCTGCGGCTGCTTCGGGTTTTGCTGGCACTGCTACTACGGCATTAAACAGCAACATCAACGACGACTGCGACCGCGACGGCGGCGGCAACTGCGACGGAGACCGCGACTGCGACTGTGACTGCTGCTGCTACTCCTACTACTACGTCGAAAGCGGGCTGCCCCAGGCCCCACGCATCTCCCAGCTCATTGCGGTGCCTTCCGCTGGTGGTTTGCCACAGGCAGTCAGAGTCTCCGAGTGTCTGGATGTGCGGAAGTGCGGAAGTGTCGAGAATTGATATGTGGCATCCTCACAGACTCCAGCTTTGCGATGTGATTGTTCTGCCAGCTCGATGTTTGTGACTATGCCGCACAAAAAAACACCAAAATAGAAAACACATGGAATCAACATCTTCCAATCATGCGATGGCTCTGCATCTGAACCAAGCTCGAAAATTGAAGCAATTGTCAACCACGAACTGGAGGTGCGAAGGTGCGTTTCAACCAACATGAAGATCGAACTCGTATGATATGTATCTCCGAGCTTGACGGTGCCCTTCCAGAAGTCGTCTCTCTTCAGACAGGTGGTGTCGCCATGCTCGTCGACACGCTCAGCCCCCACCTTGACGGAGGCATCGACTCCTGCTGAGTCGTGTTCTTCAGCTGCTGTTCGTGCGTCGTCTGCCGTTCGGGGCACTATCACAACAGGCTGCGGATGTCGCATGCACGATGAGTGCATTGCTTGCTTGACAACGCGAGTCAAGTTCGACGAGTGGCGTACAAGACGAGAGCGTTCAAGTACTCAATCACGGTCATAAAGCCCACAGCCCCCAACAGATGCATGATCTGACAGGGGGTGAACACGACCATGGTGGGGGTGGGGGTCAACTGCAAAGGGCTGTCGGGGTGGCAAGCAAAATGGAACAGACACGGTCCCGCATAGATTATAGGTGCATGGCACCGGCATTATCTCAGCAGAATAACATTTTATGGCAGACTTTGCATGCCGAAGCCCTTGAAGCCCTGCTCAGTCTCGAAGCCTTGTGACGCTGCGACCGCCGCGATGGTCATCGGCCAATCCGCCCGGTGCCAAGCGCTGGGATGACAGTCCGGAATTCTCATCCCCAATTCGCCATGCAGAAGGCACCGAGACTGCCTGCTGCTCTTCCCGTGATCCCTACGCTTGCCCCAGGGTGCAGCTACCACTTACCTTCAATTTCCAAGGCAGCTGCCTACTGCATCGCGTGTGCAGGCAGGTGTTCTTCCGTTGCGTACCTTTCGTCTTGTTTGAGAGCCTAAAGGGCCGCAAGAGACACTGGGCAGACTCCGCAGGTGATCACTTCCGCGGTCTCGTCCAATGCGACGCCAGTGAGCACTCCTCGCTCGGTCCGGACTACGCAGGCAGTTGAGGAACCTTGCCGGGTCATGCTATGACACTCGTTGGGACCCTAAACCGAAGACAACAGTTGGCTTTGCTTCGGCAAATGGCATCGGGAATGCCGCCATACGCTGATCATGCGCCTAGCAAGAATGATGCTTGAAGATGATTGGCAGGCTGTGCTGGTGCCTCTCGGCTGACTGAAGACATCTTGTCCTGGAACGCATGTTGTTTGTGGATGATGATCCACATGTTGCTCATCCACCAGCCGGTTTCACAGTGCAACCGGCTCTCCTGCATGTCAGGCCCGTGCCTCGTCTAGTTCCAAGCCCCTGCTAACTGTTGTGTAGGACACGGCTTAACATTGCTGAGCTTCTGGATGGTGTCGTGCGTATCAGCTGTTGGCAGTTGTTAAATTTCAGGAAGAGAACCGATACATCGGGAAGACATCGTACGAGTATTATGGGTGCTGATTGGCTTGCCTCGCTGGCTGTAGTGCATTCGAAACGGTGAAACTGACAAGAGATCGCAACCTGCCTTTAATGGTAGCCTTCCTCACATTGAAGACCACAACGATGGGATAGAGGTGAGCACATGTGAGAATGATCAGCGAATGCTGAATATGACACCAGGTAACACCGCCGGAGCAACAAGGATTGCTAGCCCTGCCATTGATATTGATATTGCAGTCGTCGCGGTAAACATTTAGCATTCTGAAACTTGTTTGTTTGTTTCCTTTGCGAGTAGTCTTGCTGCTTTTGCTGCTGCTACTGTCATGCTCTGGGTGCTTCTAGCAAGAAAGGCAAGGGGCCATAATTGTCATTGTCTCATTTGTGCTGTCGTTCCTTTCACACACAAACCCTCGCACTGCTTTCCCGATCCTGATCTTCTGTTGATCCGCGGTTGCTTGTTCGGGCCGTTTCGACCGTTTTATCGTTACTTCGAGAACCTGTGGACTTAAGTAGCCGTAGGCGATCAGAAGCGTTGTAAATGCAGATACCACCTCCGTACGAAGCTTTTAGGCCACATCCCAGACACCGGTAAAACCATACAGAAGCAAGCCTTACAAATCCTCACCCAGAGCCCTAAATGACTTTACCTGATAAACCTCGGCTGGCTTGTCCGAGTTGTGCGAGCGTAAATGACTAAACTCGCAGGTACCTTAACTCCCAAGAACTGAAGTAGACATCTGTATGTACGTATAGATAAAAAAGTGTGTGTGTATATATATATATATATATACACACACATGCAGGTGTGTATATACATATATATATATATATATGCAGGAATACTGAGTGTACCAAGAAGGGGTAAAATCGAAGTACAGCAATGCGCATGCGCGCGTTTCCTGGTGGAAGCTGAGGCCGCCGGGGCCCGGGAGTGCGACGCTGAACCGGAGCCAGAGTTGGCAGCCGCAGGTTGGGTGCCGAGTTTTCCTTTTTTTTCTGCTCTTGGTATTTTATGCTGTTGCTGCTATTATCAGCAGTATGCCTCTGATTATGAGGATGTTTATCATTACCAGGATTAGTAATAATAAGTTAGTTATCATCATTATTCTAGGTCGCCCCTTCTTGCTTTCATTTTTTGGGAGCGTGGGGGGGCTTAGGGTCTTTCATTTTTTGGGAGCGGGGGGGGGCTTAGGGTTTGGGGGGCGAGGGCTCGCTTTATGTAGGTAGCACTCTATAGTTGTACGCATAACATGATGTATAGGGCCCACGCGAACCAACAAGGCCTTTTCAGTGCATCTGGCAGGAGGATACGCAACCCTGCAGGTACAAGCTCTTGTGCAATTTCGATTCTGGCAGAACGGGGTCGTTGCTTTGCTGGGATTGACCTTGCAGAGCCTTCAGGCGACGCCCCAGATGCCGAGCCAGCCCATGCGCTACACCATGGGTGCACAGGCCCTGGTGAGCTATCAGCTGCTCGGCTCGGGTTGGTGCCAAGCCGCGGTCTGACTTAGACGAAGTGACAACAAAAGCGCTCTCTGCTCTCCAGCCCAGGCCACCTTCGGTCACCCGCCCACCCATGGCTCAGGCCCTTCTGCCGGGGGGGAAGCGGGGATTTTGGCATTCTGCCCAGATGATGGATCCTGGAAGTGCTGAGATTAGCTTAAATCTGCAGGGGTTCGTTCAGTTCTGCAGAGATCCGCTGAGGTCGTTGCGGTGCGCTGAGCAGTTTATCCTCACTGCGGGAGAGAGACGATACACCACAAAACGGCGTGGCCAGTAGAAACCATGTCCTTGAAGTTTGGATGTGGCCCGGAACGAAAATTTGGATGACATTGCTTCATTCCTCGGCATTCTCTCTCCTTGCTGCGGTGTTGGCACCGAATCCGCTGGCGTAGGCGATTGCTTAGAAGGGTTTGAGACCTGCCAGTTTCGGTTCATGCACAGCATATTGACCAAAAAGGCTGGTCAACCAAAGCAAATTCGGAATTCGACTCCGGGCATGCGTCTCAGCGGCCATAGCTCGATAGTCAACCAGAGCTAGTCTCCTAACTGACTCCTATGATTTTCAGGGGGGCCATGATGTTGAGGCGCTGACCCCTTGCTGATTCGGACGGGCGCTCTGTCCTTGCTGCAAGAAAAGCAGGCTAGACTGAAGATGTGGCGAAACAGGCTAAGCAAAGCATTAATAAACTCACGTGGAATTTGTATGATTGGCCAGCAGTATGCGTTTGTTTCAACGAAGGGGAAGGCCATGTGCAGGAAGCCGTGACAGTAGAAAGCTTATCGCTTAGCAGCTGGTAGAAGAGCTCGTGCAAAACTGACGGGCCATCAACCCCGTGACATGCACTTGGGGTTTTCTGTTTCTTGGGATCCTGTGCAAGTGTGGTGATGGACCTGGAGAGCGGTGTGCTGGATGCATGTGCCGCAATCTTCATCAAGCCACTGAGGCGAGGCAACGACGTGGCAACGTACACTGGGGTGTGCTGGAAGTAGAGGCTGCCGAAGCGTGTCGGAGCCTCATTGGATTAGCGTTCCCCTGGTTGAACGGTATATTGGCCGTGCAACGAGAGGAGCAGTGCCAGAAGTGCCGATCGATTTGGCAGTGCGTCGAGGTTTTCCGCGTATTGGCGTATTGCAATCTCCAGCAGGACACTTAAAAGCAGATCTCGTTGTGGCTGTATGTTGAGCGAGGTCTAGCCAGCGGGACATTCAGGCCAGTACTGAGCACACTTCTGAAGAGACCAGGGTGTGCGCGGTTCCCGCGTGTGAGAAAGAGACAGAATCGGCCAGCGTGGCAAGTAGATCGCAATGTCTTAGGCTTCGCTTCGTAGTGTGCACCATAGCCTTTCTCGCAACGGCTTCAGTCCGGCAAATCATGTCTTTGGCATCTCACAGTGGCCCCGACTGGCCCACCGTTACAACACGCATTCTGCTGTCTTGGTGTCCGCGCCGCAGCAGTTGCTGGCTCGACCGTGGCCAGTTTCGTGGGTGCCTGCGTGGAATCCGGTGCGGCTTTTCTCCAAGACGGGGAGAAGCCCCTCATCGAGGTCATGGCACCGCCGCATGTCAGCACCTTGCAACTGCTTTGGCAGCACTGGTTCCTGTTGATTCCATGAAGTCGATGGCTCATTCCGCTGTATACATGCCTGCACGACAAGTCGGGGACGTGCATAAACTGCCAGAGAGCCCTTATGTGCTGCTTAAGTGAGTTCAGAGATCCTCGTACTGTATGCTGTCAAGAGTGTTTGGCTGTCATGGTCACTGAAGCTTGAAACCGGATTTGCACTTCACCGGGTATTGGGAGAGTTTCGAGAGCTTTGGTCGCATAGTCCGACTTCGGCGTTTGCCTTCGACATGTGTTGTTGTGCGCCACCAGAAACATTTGTCAAATATGTAAGGAGGCCCTGAACCTCAAAGCTCCGAAGTGACCTGAGCAGAAAATCTCCTTACCAAGGTCCAGCAGGGTTCACTTCGAAAAGTTTACTTGCCCGACCGGTCCGAGTACTTCGATACAGCCCTTGTTTCCGAAAGGGTTCTGCCTTAGTAATTCCGACCCGCAAGTCAACGATACGGACAAATATCCGTGTTTCTACTTAGTATACCTGGCACACTCGCGCATATATTGCAAGATATACAAAGAGAGATGGAGATCATCTCGCCTACTTGTTTTTTCTTTTTATGTCCTGTTCAGTTTACCTTGATTATATTATATTATATCATATTATATTATGTTATATTATATTATATCATATTACATTATATTATATTATATGATGCAGCATCTTGCGCTCCTGAGCTCTGCCGCTGTAGTTTCGGCCCGAAGAGTCGCTGCGCTGATTTGGCCTCGCAGTGCCGAGACTTGGGCCGAAAGTTGTGGTAGAAAAGCTACGCGTTAGGGATTGGGAAGAAGGTTTCCAGGCAGTACCGAGTAGAAGCTCGGACCGAGTTGAGGTATGAGGTGTGACTAAGGGGCTATACTATGATGCATAGAGCTGAATGGCAAAGGTTTAAAGTTTAAAGGGTTCAGGGATTAGGCTCATTGTTACGCAGCACCACGAGTGCCTATGTCGTATGTGCCATCGTCACATTGTCCCATGAGTTGCAAGAGATGTCACATCTGCCTAGGAATTCATGAGGTGATGTCTCGTGTTGGAGCACAGCCGGAGCACGAGCCGAGTCAAACCACACCCACAGTTGAATGCTGCAAGTGGCCTGGGAAACGCCGACCCCGCCTACTGAGCTCAAGCACCCATCTCTACAACACTGCGAGCCTTCCTCGGAGGAGACCACCCCACCGAAGATGTCGAATCTGGTGGGGGAGGCCGTGAACGTGGCAGCTTGGCTTTGAGCCAGCGCCGAGTGCGGGTCGTGTTCAACCTCCTTGAGGCTCAAAAGCTTCCGGCTTAACAGGTATTTATGCTTATACAAATACGGTAATGCTAGTGAGGGATTTCTTCCTCTGTGGTAGAGGCGACGAATTAGTTAGAGTTTGAGCTTATCCGTCGCGTTGAGTGGGAATTGATGTCGCGCGGTGGAAGCCCAGCAAAGCATGTAGTCTTATGCATATCTGCTATGATAGACTGTCCTGTGTTTGTTGCGGTGACGTCCTGTTGTTTCGTAGTGGGCATGCTACCTGAAACCGCATGAACCTATATTATGTCAGGTCAATTATCGTTACGCCGTATCTGGACTGCGTCTTACCAGAAGGCCACACAATCCTCTTCAGCCACAATACTTTGGTCTCACATTCTTGTATGATAAACTCTTGCACACAATCCAGATCAGCTTAACGTCGGCTGGGCCCCTGGTAGAATTTCAGAATGTCGAAAAGAACGCTCGACAGCACCTGAACCTAAGGACAGCAATGCGCCAGTCGAAGGCCATATCTGCAGTGCTCGGGGGGAACGGTAAGCAAACTGGCTTGCGTTCTGCAGCCGTAAGTAGTCAGTTACCAAATATTCCCTACTGCCAAGATCCAACATCCTATTGTGGACGGCATGGAGAGAGAGGCAGGGAGGGAGGGAGAGAGAAGGAAGCAGGGACAGAGAGGACGATCAAAGACACCCGACACCCAGAGCTTCTCCGCACAGGGGCATGAACTGAATGCCAGGGAGGTACAGGAAACGATGCGCGGGTCTGCCACAGCCTCAAGCTGGACTTACTTCCAAAAAATAATAGGTCTTGCAGAATTCGCAGCAGCCTGCGGTGCCGTTATCACAAGCCATACGTCCACTGCACACAGCGTCACAGTTTGCATGGCTTTCTAGTGGCCTCTTCGGTTGAGATGTCCCCTGAAGTGGAAGAAGAGCCCTGCTCAGGGGCCGAAGTGATGGGAGTCCCTGTGGAGTCGAAAGGGCATCCCTTAAGGGCAGGCGACAAGGCAGGGTTGGGTAACTTGGCTGTCTCTCGTTTGGGTGATTTGCGGTGGGGCTTTGAGGTCGCTATGCTTTGCATCTCATGACTTTGGCAAGTGCCTGCCTTGAGCTCGCAAGAGATTTCAGAGTTTCAGATTCCACCTGTCTTTTGTGGATGTTCTTACAAGAGTGTGGCTGTGGACATGACCAAGTTGGGAGCGCTTCTACACTGCTCCTAGTCGAGAGCGCGTTGGGATGCGGATACCTGTTTCAGCTCCGTCAGGAACCTGCAGAGATCCCGCCGTGTTGCTGTGCGGCCTGGCAGCACATGTAAGGGCTTCGGCGAACTATTCGTGGAACATCAGAGTTTTCAGGCCTCTGGGCTTCAGGTTGTTTAGAGTCGATCCAGCCCTGTCCCTTCCGACCCTCCCGCCAGTCCCGCATCCGGAGCTTCACAGCACCGGCCCATTTTTCTACGAGACCTTCTGAAAACGCCATTGGCAGGCGTTTTTGAGGGGGCATCTGAGGGGCATTTCAAAACAGGTAGGTAGTGACTTGCTGTTGTTGGAATATCACTGTGGCCCGTAGTCGGCCGTATTTGCCGAACGGAGCGTTCATGGGCGTATTTGCTCGAGGGGTCGCACACTTTGTAGCGCTCAGGGTACATCTTCGAGAATCTAAGGCACTGCAGTTGGAGAGCATACTTTTGAAGCTTTGCTACCACAGACAAGAGATGGAGCCTGCATGAGCCTTCGTGCTGCACTGTAAGGTACGATCGGTAGTATAGATATATGTATATATATATATATATATATATATATATATATAATTAATATACATATATATATATATAGCCTACGCACTGATCCTTGCAGTGATCCTTTGGCCAGACCGAGGGCCCAGAGCCTTGCTGCTGGGTGCGGGGCCCCAGCGCCTCTCATGTTCGAGATGCTCGCTGAAGGGACCTGCTTGACTTCTTCGAAGATATCAGATGTGCTCTCTCTCTCTCTCTCTCTCTCTCTGCTCTCTCTCTCTCTCTCTCTCTCTCTTTCTGTCCGAATTTCGTCTGTTTGCGTATACAAATGTCGCTCACACAAACAGTTGTAAATGTACCTACATACGTGCATACAGTACTTTCATGGTTACCGACTTGCTTGCTTACTTACTTACTTGTCTACTCACTTGTCTGCGCTTGGCTTACCTACCTAACTACTGCCTTCCTGACCGACCGACTGACGTACTTGCTTACTTAATTCTCACATGCACACATACACACATGAACATACATACAAACACGACACAAGAGTCTAGCTGTATGTATGCACACGAACAGCTAGCTGGTTCGTCTTGAAGCCTACATCATGTCGCTGACTCGCGCTGTCGGTCCACCAACCTCTGAGAGCTGCCCTGCGACGACGTTGTGGTTTACCATCTCTCGCAACCCTTGCGCTTACTCACTCAAGAGTTGATAGACCCGCCGTTGCATTACTCCTCGTTGTAATCCGCGGCGCGTGCTTTTCGCATTGCTTCTAGATGCTCCTAGCTCGAAGACGAGCCTCGCCCACTTCTCCAAGCTGTGAGTGCGAGGACCTAAACGCGTTCCGCGTCTGTAGTCAGGCAATCGCAGGAGTCAACCCTTCAGGACAAGCTTCGGCTCCAAGCACCAAGAGAAAGCAAAGGCCAGAAGAAGCTGAGGTGCCTGCAAGAAGCCCCCCCCCACCGTCTCTTTACAACCGCAGCGTCTGCGTCCGTGCAGAACCTGGTGGTCAGCTAAAGGCAATGGCACAGAGTCGGAATCGGAGCTGTGAATCCTCAGCACAGCATCCAGCTGTGAAGAAGTAGTCTATCGCCGATTCTGCGAGTACTCGCGCCATATGTGTTTTCGTGTGCACACATAGACATATATACATTACATAGACAGACTCTATAGATACAGATGTCATAGGTATAAATCGTTGTACATTGTATATGTAACCTACTGTAATTACATATCTAAATATGTAAATAGTTTATAAACTATTTACATATTTAGATATGTAGATATAGATGTCTCTATCCATCTATCTATCTGTTTGTATTGAGATAATATACACACACATACATGTACAAATATATATATATATATATATATATATCCCTCTCTCTCTCTCCCGCCCCTTTTGTAGCCCGTGCCACATGCCTCGAAGGAAAGGTGCCTGCTTGGGCAATGCTGCGGCGCAGCAGGACCAAGTCAAATGTGCCTGCTGTGTCATGCAAGGCCTCCTCTGAGAGAAGCATCGCCACTGAAAGGATCTTGCGTTCCTTGCTGGCTTTTCTTCCTGCTCGGCTGGGTGTTTACCCTTCTCTTCATGAGAGAGGCCTCGAAGCTGCAGAGGGCGGCTTCGAGCCCAGGGGCCGATACGAAGTTTGGCAGGCATTTCTTAAATTAACATCAAAGCCCCAAGCTGAAACTCAACACCACTGCCGCGTGAGTACTCAAGATGTGAAAAATTTACAGATGTAGTCTTCGCTTCGAGCTTGCTGTGCGGCAGACCAGAAATCACTTCCGCAAATCCCCCCCTCCAGGTGATGACCCAGGGCACCGACATCTTCTCCTTTGAAGATCCCGCCGTGGAGACCGACCTCAAGGCTGTATTCTGGGGGCCTAAGGAGCAACTAGACTCCAAAAGAAGAATCCTTCATGTCTGGCGAAAGGATTCGCGATGTGAAGGCTTGATCAAGTTGTGTGTAGGATCTCTCTTTATGGCTTGAGCCTTCAGGTTTTTGTTGGTTTAGGGTTGTTGATGGGCTCAGAAGCTGCGTCGCCTTGAAACAAGGGGCTCCAGCTAAGGGACCTTCCTGTAGAGAACTGCTTGCAGGGATGGCTGGCCAGGCGAGAAAGCATTCCTATCTGCGACGTATCACCATGCCTGTGTCCTCGTAGCTTCAGAACTCATGTGACAAGCAGTGGAAATATGTCCTGTAGCCACCAGAATGGGACCCCAAATAATCACTTACCACATGGGCCATGGGTCCGTGTTAGGGTCCGTTGTTTCTGAAACTCCCATCTCTGCTTTGCTCGGTGCAGGTTTCTCGGTCAGCCTTCGCTTAAAGCCCCAGCTGGGGCAAGGAGCCCGCTGACCCGTAACATACAGCGCCATGTCCCATGTCAGGTCCAACAGTACTTCGGCTTTCAGGCCGCCCTAGACGAGACCCCCGGCTGCGCTGATCAAGCTCACAGGGAGCAGGCTCCGGGGGCGGCTTGCAGAGGCTTCACGTTTCGCCAGGCGCTAACGGCCCCCTCCTGCGACCTTGAGCCGCTTCGTAAGTCTGCGTGACAGCACTGAAAATGTGGAGAACATTAGCGGAAAGCCTTGGACGGCGCTCTGGAAGGCCGTCTGTGAGGCCGACGAGTTGTGCGAATGGGTTCAGCGCGGGCCGAGTGCGTCGTGCCGGCCTTGGCGGTCAACGCTTGTGTGGTTCTTGAAGTTTCTGCTTCTGACAGACTCGACTGCGGCAGATTCTGAGAGTTTGAAAATAGGACACATCGGCACAATATCCACAGGCACTGTCGAGGACCTTTAGGTCGCAGTTGAAGTTTCCCGACTTCACGAGTAGGGCCTACGGGCTATGCTCAGCTTGCTCGAAAGCCATTTTCTGAGCTGCATACTATGAGAGAGCCTAGAACATTGATCTGCAACTTGTACTGCAAGCTCTTAGCGTTACAACAGCTAGCTGCGTTCAACAAGGCTAAAACCAATCTGCAGTTGCATTCCACATGCTGGTTGCCGGAGAAGTGTGCAGGTGATGTCCAGTCTAGAGGAGTTGTAAAGGAAGCGCGATGCTGAGAACACTGCTGCTGGCGCCAAGCTGGGCAACGAAAACCTAAAGGTCCGACATGGCAGCATCTCCACATATCTCGAACCTTCAAATGACTGGCCATAAGTCTCAGGATCGGGGAATGTAGAGCTCTGTCTTGCAAAGCTTGTCTATGGGAGTGGAAGTTAATCACGGCAGTTCATAGCACTGACTAGACTGACTAGACTTCAACAACGGAAGTCCCTTGCGCCATGCGCGGCAGCTTTCCTGGCTGCTGCGTGCTTCCTGGCGCTGTGGCCTTGGGCGATGGGTGCAGAGCTTGCACTGGGTCAGGCCAGGCTGTTGGGCTGGGGGAGCCAGAAGAGTTGTGGGTGTCCGGGCTGGATCGCTTCTCGCTGAAGCTCCTGAGGTCTTAAGAGGGTTCGGCCGGTTCGAGTCCCGAGAGCATTGCGCGACCAATGCATTCGTGACCCATCAGTCAACCAAGAATACCTATGTGCCTACTTTAACTGTCCTGTTTATAAGTAAGGAGTATGAAGCTCACTTTGAAATTCGGTTCGGCTGGCCATCGGAAATCTCATCTAGAGCATACTCCCCTACGGTCAGCCCGTGAAAAGACTTGCAGGTTCCAGGATAGGCTCGGCTCGCAAGACTTTGATGGGAGGCCAACATGGGGGGTTTCAGATTCTTGGGGTAGGGATTCCTGAATATGAACCCTATTATGGGAACCCTAAGCCCCACTAAACCCCCATAGGCTAAAACCCCTTCTGGGCTCCTATGATTCAAGACCGTTGCGAAGGCCACGCTGGGCCCGGCGCCATGGGAGTTGCTGCAGTCGGGCCGCTTGCCTCTCTGGTACAGCCGATAGTGCAGACCAAGGATTACCGACCCCCCTTTTCGTTAAGGTCCTGTGGAGTTTCACAGGGTTTCTTTCGGGCTTTAGAACAGCAAAAAAGTATCCTGATAAATCAAATCTCGTCTCTAGAAGAAACTCATTGAAACTAGCGCCGCTATCATGATTACACAGCTTCTGAAACGAAGCTTGAGAAGTTTGGAAGGGGTCAGAGTCCCGTAGTAGGGATCATGCGGGTCGTACTTGGAAATCCCAACCCGACTAGCTGAAGCCTATCCAATCAACGCAGGAAGATTCATACGCCAGGCCCATGCCAACAGTTAGGAAAATCTCAACGATAGCCTACTTCACAAGTCCCGCGGTCCTTCAAGCACTGGGAAACCGGACCGCCATCCATCGAACCAAAACGGAAATCAACAGAGCCACGTGTAATTACACTAGAATCCTTTCCAGCATGGCGGCAGGAGTGTACAAGCCTACAAGCCCTCTCTTTTTCTGCTTACATGGTTGTTCTTGATTTGTCTTATTCCTGTATACAACACTGCTAGATACTAGTTCTAGACCAGCATAGCGTGCGGTGATCTAGGCAGGTGGCCTGCGAAGGGGATCGGCCGGAAGACCCCATCTATGGCGTCCTCACTGCTAACAAGCGGGCTCAAGGCTGCATCAGCTAGATGTGTTGTGCTGTTGCCCGTGAGATCCCGGACATAGATTTGTTCGAGTCTTTGGATGGCTTCACTCGTGCCGCAGAAGCCTTCAGCGCCGCCTCCGTCTTCCACATCGCCTCGTCGGCGCATGAGTGCTACTCAACAGCAGTGCGCAACAAGATCCAAACCGAGTCCAGCCGACGTGGCGGAGTTTCCAGAGTGTGCGACGAGTCCCTCGATAAGCCCATCCATCAGCATGCGGTCACATGCCATCTCGGATTCGCAAGAAAGCAGGGTTCACTTCGAGGAAACCCCCGAGGTCATCTTGTTTCTTAGTGCGGACGAGGGCATCGCCGAGGAGCTTCCAGTGGTGGCTGAGGAGGATGAGCGAGGCCAGGCAGAGATAAATCAGCTAAGCTCCCTGAGAGCTGCGCCGCCACAGATGGGCGAGACTCCGTTGGCAGTGCCGGCTCCGCATGACGTACGCGAAGGAGGCGGAGGTCTGGCGGACCTTGCTGCAGACGCTTGGTCAGAATAAGGGCTGTTTTCTATATAGGTAAGCAGTTGCGAGACGTACCAGCCGAGGAAAGGCGGGATGCGGTGCTCCTAAAACTTTTCCCTGGCATAAAGAGAGCGTGCTTGATGCGCCCTCGGCCCTCGGTCGATTGAGCAGACAAATTCTGTTCGATTACAAATTTTCCGCCCAAAATGTACAGTAGCATCTCTATGATCGGAGATGCGGGCGAAGATCCCCATGAGATCTAGAACGTGTTGCCTTCTTCTTTGCCTTGAGCTGGTGTGGATGTGTGTTTGTGTGTTGTGAGTGTGTTGCGTGTGAGTGTGTAGATTTCGGAATAGCTTGTCAAATTACAGCTAAGGCCTATGCCGTAAATGTTGAGCTCTGACTCTTCCGTCCTCGTTTCGTCACTACGGAGGCAAAAGCGACAGCGAGCGCAAGCAGACGGCTGGCGCAATGCTGTCCAAGCCAAAAAGGCATTCTATTTAGTTTCAGAGGGCATTGCTGGCCATCGCAATGTGACGGCCTGGATCTGCAGACTCCCCAAGGATGCAGATTCGCTCCTCTGATGTTTTTGTTCTCTGATGAGCAACGGTTCACCGCTTCCAAGCGCTTGTCGTGCTTCGGCAGCTTCGGTACCGCGCATGCAGCCCCACAGAGCGGAGGTTTCTTCCTCCAAGCCGCTTGTGCCAAGACTTGTTCAGGTCTGAGCACGCGATATTGGATTTTGCCGCTTTGCAACTGTTTCAAATTTCGGTCCTTGGCACAGCAGTGCGGCTGTCTTTCCATGGGGCTACATGCCATGTGGTTCTCTCAATGGTCTCAAACGTCCGCGCACTAGGCGTTATGTTCGCCCTGATGCTTACAGGGGACCCTTGTGAAAAAGGTTTTTCAGTACTTTGAGCTCCCGAGATGCGTTTTTTGAGCTGTGCTATTCAGTTTTGTCCTTGTGTTTGTCGACTCGGTCTGGTGACAGCAATGCCGGGAGTCGCGACCCGAAAACGGAGCAGCAACTATGAGACGACAACTAAACGGCGTCATCAGCACGAGTGCGCACAGAATACCCGACAACAGCACTGACAACATGTGTAGTGAGGCCCATCTAGTAGAGCTCTTATTCGGAACACGTTGCGGAGCAGAGGCCCGACCCAAGGTTTAATTATGTTGACGCCTTCCAACTTGGCCAGTGGACAACATGCTTGGTGGTTGGCTCGCAGTAGCACAGAGTCACAGAGCTGTCGCACACGTTGATCCTCCTTTTGGCCCAAGTGCAGGCTTTTGACCTAGCCTTTTGTTGCAAAGCTCGTCCTGCTTGTGATGACTATGAGCCCGGCCTTCGTAGGTCATAGGCCTCTCCTTACTTTTGCTTACGCCCGGAGCACTTCCAAAACGTGGTGGATGCGGCAGCCGCCAAAACGGTGGAACCAGACAAGCCAGCATTATATTGCTGCCGTGATTGGGATGCCAAAGAGAACAAATGCTACCCGCAGCTATGCGCATCCGCGAAGGACGTGCCGATGTGGGGTGCGCCGGGGAAGGATGGGAGCTGTTCCGAGAGTTCCGGTGACGCCAATCACTGCAAGGATGTACTCCCGAAGTGAGTGCCGAAACCCCAGCGATGTCGCTCCGTGTGTGGACAACCAATACTGCAGCAGAGCCGGACCCGACTAGGCCCTAGGCCGCCATGAGAGCAGCAGCGGCAGCAAAAAGTGCAACGTTGCTTCTATTCTACCCTTGCTTCCCGCTGTTCCCGAGAGCTCTGACCACGCGCGCAGCTGCCACCTAAAGAGATCCTCGTGCACAGTCGGTGTGAGAAACATGAAACACCCGACCCTCAGCTGCTTCGTCCCCGTGAGCCCATCGAATCGTTGTTAGGAAATATTAAGAACGAGGCCTTCGTTTCGCATCTTGGGCAGAGATGTTGATGTCTAGAGCGGGCCAACTATTGGTAGGTTGAGGTGTAGAGTCTCCTGAGCTCCGCCGGAATCCTCTATGAAGAACTCCAACCTTCAACAGTAATGAAGGCCATGATGCAAGCTGATCGCGGAGACGAAGAAATTAAGGCCAAGGATGGGCGCAAACCCTAAGAAGAAGCCGCACGCCCGAAATAAGACCACGAACATCTTCCAGCTGTTCAACCTCAGGAAACATAACAGCCAAGAGTAAGGCGCAGAAATAGCCCAAAATCCTACAAAGGTGGTGGTAGAAACCTGCGACCTAGTATTATTAGCAAGCAATACCCTGAATGCCCGAAGCGTTTTAAGAAGCCGAGCAACCGGAGCAAAGCCACAGGGCCTTGGCCAGCGCCCGAAGAGCTTTGGCCCGAACCGCGGCGCTGGGATGCGGCCTCTAGGCGGAGCTTTGAGGATGTGGGAGTTTCCGAAAATGGGACCCTGATATAGTAGGATCATTGAAAAGGACCCGAAAATTAGGTATCCTAATTCTCGGAAACGCCCACGTGGTTTGACTCCGCATCCACATCCATGCCTTCTTGTCGATTTTTATGTGCTCTTTCAACAAGCTGACGTACTCTTAGCATGATTTGTACGTACATGCCAGGCCAGTATGCATGCGTGTATACATGTCACTGCGGCTGCTGCTGTTGCTGGTGCTGGTAGTGGTGGTTGCGGTGCAGTTATTGTTGTTGGCGGCTGTGGTGGTAGTGCCGCTGCTGCAAAATCCCTTGAATCTGGTTAGCAGGTGTGTGTTCTCGCAGCCATGAACACCCGGCATAGCAACGCGTAAACGGGCTACATGCACATGGCCTGACAGAGCCTGTGCATCACCCCCAGCCGCGTCTAGTTTCTTGTGCCCTGTGCGGCAAGAGCTCACTGCTTGTCAGTGACCTACATATTCGCAGGTGCTCTCAGAAGATCTCAGAAGTTCGGCTTGGAATCAAGTCTGCGCAGCTCATCCCAACATTGAGCATCACCGAAAGACCCTGGGACGTTGATGCTGTATATATGTTGAGAATGCAAGGTCTACAAATCACGGCCTTTGAGCCCACGCAGCCTGACCGTCTTGCATGAGTTTGCAGGCCACAAGGCTGGCTGCGAAGTACTTGGGGTGTCGTTCTAGAGGCGAAGAGGCTTGATCCTCGAAGCGAGTGATGCATGTGCACCTATAAATTGCTGCATGAAGCCACGCTGGGGTGATAGGGTGGCGCAATTGCTGCACTTGCCTGGGGAGTGTTCTGCCTCTTTAATCTTGTCGAACATATGCACGGCATCCAGTTCCATCGCAATTGAGTCGCTTCGCAGACAGGTTTGTCATTGCCAGCCTGCTTCTGATGCCTCGGACCTCGACGGGTCCCACCAGGATCGTGCTTGACGTTTCGGCCATTGAAGTCCTATCCGGATGTTAAGGGAGAGTTTTACATGTGGTCCGTAAGCTCCCATCTGACTCCAGATGTCGCAGTACAGGGTGTTTGTTCTGAGGCCAAGGCGATTACAGTAGCAGTGAGTTTGACTCTGTGAGGGTCTGTGGTCGTAAGTATACAATACATCGCTGCCTACATATGGGCAGACGTGAAGAAGATGGAAGCAATAGCGAGAGGTTATTCAACCGTCCCGAGTGATGTTCCATGATCCGAGCCTCGTAAGCATAGTAATGGACTGCGCGGTTGTTGTCAACGAGTGTCAACGATCAAAGCATAAGAAGCGGAGCAGCGCACACACACACACACACACACCACTCGTGAGTGGTAGGGAGAGTACCACTAGCAGTACTCAGTTGCGCTCCGTCCGTCTAGGCGTATGCCAGCCAAGCCAAATCTGCCAGGACCCTAGCAGCTGCAACGCCCCTCGAGCCCCAATCACCTATACATATCAGAACCTTGCTCAACTCCGAAATAGCTTAAGCAAGGCAGCAACAAGTAAAAGGCCCCCGCCACCTGAAACCCCCAACTCGAAGCTGTGTGAACTGAACCCGTACGGTCAATTTCGCCTGGCTGTTATATAACCCTACACCTCAAACCCCAAAACTGTCCGAGTGTGAGCGCCGAAACCCCAAAACCCACTCGGCCCCCTACGAGAGAGAGCAACAGACGATGTTTCGATGCGTCAGGAGCCGGAGCGGCTGAGCGAACCGGAGCCCCAGCCGGGGCCAGCCGAGGTGGAAGCACCGAAGCTGCCCGGTCAACCGAAGGATGAGAGGACTTCACATGGAGCAAAGAGGATTTGTGAAGCGTCTATAGGACTTCTAGAGAGCACTTCCCGACGAATCGTACGGCTTGGAGACTTACTTCAGGGGCATCTGAAGGCAGGAGGGAGCTGGTCAGAGATGCAACAAGACGCCAACACAGGGACCAAACGACAAGAGAAAAAGACTTGACCAGATTGGGTGGATTAGACATGGCCTGAGCAGCTTGATGATAGGTTCAGGGTTTGAGACTGCCCTGATGCCAGACACCGGTAATTGAATTTCCTGAAATTCGAGAAAACAGTTGGAATTGCGAGACGCCAGCAGCCCAAAGCCCAACTCCCGGCGGCAATCGATGGCTGCGACTTACGGCTGAGGCTATGGAGACCCGTTGCCGACCGAGAGTTGGAGGAGGTGTTCTGCAGTTTGCTTACAGACGGTGCAGAAGACATAGGGTGACACTTTCATGCGGAGGCGGCACTCTGTCGTTGTTTGCGGGCCTTCGATCTTGAAGCCAGAAGCACTACTACCGCTCAGAATTAGCCGGTGCTTCGTGGGTGAGCAGCCCCGTTTCGAAAGAGGCCGAAACAGCTGTCCGTGAAGCCACCTTGCAGAGATTGGAGACCGAGGCCCCGAGAGCGAAGTAACCACCATAGCATGACATATTGATGTATCATACCAGGGCATGCTGCATCAGCATGTTATGTTAGAGGCCTGCTATATCGCCATACTTTGCCATGCTTAGTTTTGGTATCTCGTCGTGCCACTGCGTTGCACGGATACAGTCGAAGGTAAGGCATGTGCTGTCATGTTGCCAATGAGTTGCAGTTCATGTACTGCAGTAGGGTATCTGGTAATGGTTATGGTCTAACAGAATACATAATGCAACGGATGAGTCGCCTGTTGCCTACAGACGTCGCCAGGTATTGCCGAAATTGGTGTAGTAGAGTGAATTGCAAAATACAGGTCTATAGAACCGCATTCCACTTTCCAGCCCTTGCAGCCGGCATCAGCGTGAATGCGATACGGTGCCTTCAACTCGTTTGGCCAGATAGACTTGGAACCTCAGACCGACATCTCTCTGAAATGTGTTGTAGTTTCATTGCTAGGGTTGGGGCACGGTTGGCTGCCAAAAGGTACCCGGAAGAAGCGGGCCAACCAGTCCAGACAGCTCGTTTTGCCGACCGTGAATATTGGATTTTAGGATCCGTATCATGTAGCAAAATCGCGATCCGACGATATTTATAAGGGGCTTGGTTGTGTTGAGGCAGCGTTATCTCTTTCTGTTTTCGGAGGTGAGCCTGTTGAACACCGAGATCCAGGCGTGGGCGGGACGTAGTACCGTTTCAACAACTGTGGGGCAATTTGTGCAGGGATCCGTCGGTTATTCAGGCTCCTACTCATGGTACAGACCCGTAAATTGCCTACCAGTCATGTCGAAAGTAAACCCAATCCCTCAAAGTCTCCCAGAAGCAAGGGGCAGCCTGGTGCCAACAGGACTTGCAGCAGGAGGGCACGCAGCTTCGACTCCGTGCGCAGACCGCCGAGGCATGCCGACCAGGGGATGTGTTAAATTGACTCTAGCTTCTGCTGGCTTAATTTGCAGGCGTCGAAGTATGACGGGCATCTGCAGCATCTCGCTCGCATGCTTCTGGTGCGCTGCAGGCAATGGTGTCCACGCTGATGCAAGAGAACCAGGCCTTGGTAGAGCAGTTGAGGCCAAAGCACTGAGCCTCTTCTGCCGCAGGGAAGGAAGGCGACTGCACAGCTTTTCTTGCGACCATGCAGTCTCACTGGGTGTGCGTCCACCGCTTGGGGGCCACCCGTGCCCTCCAAGCTTGAACGTCCCGGAAGATGACTCTTCAAATAACGTCCAGGTGAATTCTAATCTCAGCAGACCATTTTGCCGTTGCCGGGGTTCCTTTGTTCCTTTGGGTTTAGGGGCCCTGGCTGGCCCCAGTCGGGACTGTGATGGATCGCTCGGGTGATTCGAGCTCCGCCGCAGTGAAGTCGACCGGCCCTGCTCGGGAGCTGGTGTGTAAGTTATTTAGCGTTCCTCTGCAATGACTTTTTGAACAACTTGGCCAAGGGGGCCAGGCCTTCCCAAAGCTTCTACCACCTCTTTTTTTGGTAGGTTGGTATACGCTATCAGGCTAGAATGAGTCCAGGGTTTGGATCTCTTCACTTGAGTGGCCAAGATCTGGGAATGCTCGATTCGGAATTCAGCTTCAAGGCAAAAAGGAGTTCACAGTAGTCATGTTGCATCCAGTGGCCGAATCTCCCGAATTTCCCGGCCATGCTATGACCCGGCCCAGGTGTCGAGACATCGAGTGCCCGGGGCCTACACCCAAGAGGCGACAGCAGCCTTTGAACCTCGGCTTCAGCAGGGTCCTTGAGTCCTTGCTACGGTTAGCTCTTCTCTGGTTATCGGACAGGGATCACCTTTCAGTAGGGCTTTCATTTCCTGGCCTCGGAGGGTATGCTGGATGCTCAGGTACCTAGACTTCTTGCCCGCCTTCATCAGTGTTCTGCCAGGGCCTCAATCTCCACAGAAGCTATGGACAAATTGAGTTGAGGCCGCGTGCAACGCAGGCTGGTCCCGGGCATCTGAGGGGGGGGGGGGGGGGGGTTACTGCTCAGGTATGAGGCGGTGGAAGAGAACGGAAACATTTTAAATGACGACATCATCCAGATCATCTTTGATTACGAGAGGGACCGCGGCAACCCGTGCTAGCACCTGCATGGGATAAAATGGGTTGAGGACTGTAGTTGACCTCGCCACAAGGGTGTGCACGACGCCTGTTTCACGCAGATTGGCTTTGCCAGAGGAGCTCTTCACGGACGTCGGAGGTGCTGAGTTGGACTACGAGGGTGAGAACAGGCCGATCGGGTAATGAAGTTTGACAGCTTGTCGGGGTTCAGAGTCTCCTTAGCGGAAGCCATGCCCACCCCAGCTTCGCGGCGACGACATATTTCACAATCTGCGGCCGAATTAAAACTCTCGCAGCAGTTCCTTTTCTGATCCCACGGATTCCCTACCTGATTGTCATTCGCTCGATGCATCCGATGCACACACAGCAGCTCGAAGCCACCCACCCGCCGTGCACTGCAGGAACAATCCTCGATACTACACGCTTCGATAGCATTGGCTCCAATCAAGAAGAAGCAGCCACCGCGGCGACAGCAAAATGCTGTCGCGGCCGACGTTGGGCATTTGCTTTGGCGATATGTTTTGCCATCGCGAGGGTAGTTCGTTGCAATTCTTCCTGCGCTTTCTGCCCTTCGACCACCGACCGCGATTGAATGCCCGTGCCTCTCGATGACATGTCGGCACATGTTGATCATGTGTGCTTGCACGAAGCATCTGTCGTGGCTCTCCTCCAACACGTGCACGTGTGAGAAAGTCTTGAGTAGCAGAAAGAGCCAAGACTTTTCTCGCATGTGCACACGATGGAGGAGAGCCAAGAACGATGTGTCGTGCAAGCATACATGATCAACATGTACCGAATATGTTGCCTGCGACCATGCTAGGTAGTTTGGAAAACATGCTTCGACACGTAGCCCACGATGTCTTCAGAAGTTCCAAGCCCCGAGCCCCGACTCGTTTGAGGCCATCTCCGTGGTCGGAGGAGCAGAGCTCTTTGTCTTGTGGCTTGGGTGGGCTTGCAGCCTTTGGTTCTCTCGCCTGAGCCCGATGTAAATGAATGAGATTTGGGGATGCCTTTCTAACATTTGTGAGCTGAAGCTTCTTCGAAGGAAGAGCTGCAACCTGTTTCTGCAATAATGGTTCCAGGTTCAGGTTTTGGGACTTGGGGCACGGGTGTGGGCCAGAATGCAAAATCAAAAGAGCTGAAGGAGCCGCGAAGACTGGGGGTGTTCTCTACCATCATTTACTATGGGATTTGCGCTACCCACCCTGGGCCCTCAGTTACCGCTCCGTTACGGCTCCGTTACAGCTTCCGTTACAGCTCCGTTGCAGGTCCGTTACAGCTCCGTTGCAGGTCCGCTACAGCTCCGTTACAGCATTCTGCTACAGCTCCGTTACAGCTTCCGTTGCAGGTCCGTTACAGCTCCGTAGCAGGTCTGTTACAGCCCCGCTCCAGCTTCTGCTACAGCTCCGTTACAGCTTCCGTTACAGCTCCGTTGCAGGTCCGTTACAGCTCTGTTGCAGGTCCGTTACAGCTCCGTTACAGCTTCTGCTACAGCTCCGTTACAGCTCCGTTACAGCTTCCGGCACAGGTCCGCTGCAGGTCCGTTACAGCTCCGTTGCAGGTCCGCTACAGCTCCGTTACAGCTTCTGCTGCAGCTCCGCTACAGCTCCGTTACAGCTTCCGTTACAGCTTCCGTTACAGCTCCGTTGCAGGTCCGTTACAGCTCCGCTGCAGGTCCGTTACAGCTCCGTTACAGCTTCCGTTACAGCTCCGTTGCAGCTTCCGGTACAGCTCCGTTGCAGGTCCGTTACAGCTCCGTAGCAGGTCTGTTACAGCCCCGCTCCAGCTTCTGCTGCAGCTCCGTTACAGCTTCCGGTACAGCTCCGTTGCAGGTCCGTTACAGCTCCGTTGCAGGTCCGTTGCGGCTCCGTTACAGCTTCTGCTACAGCTCTGTTACAGCTTCCGGTACAGCTCCGTTGCAGGTCCGTTACAGCTCCGTTGCAGGTCCGCTACTGCTCCGTTACGGCTTCTGCTGCAGCTCCGCTACAGCTCCGTTACAGCTTCCGTTACAGCTCCGCTGCAGGTCCGTTACAGCTCCGTTGCAGGTCCGCTACAGCTTCTGCTACAGCTCCGTAGCAGGTCCATTACAGCTCCGTTGCAGCTTCTGCAGCTCCGTTACAGCTCCTTTACAGGTCCGTTACAGCTCCGTTTACAGCTTCTGCTACAGCTCCGTTACAGCTCCGTTACAGCTTCCGCACAGGTCCGCTGCAGGTCCTTACAGCTCCGTTGCAGGTCCGCTACAGCTCCGTTACAGCTTCTGCTGCAGCTCCGCTACAGCTCCGTTACAGCTTCCGTTACAGTTACAGCTCCGTTGCTCCGCTACTGCTCCGTTACAGCTCCGTTACGGCTCCGTTACAGCTTCCGTTACAGCTCCGTTGCAGGTCCGTTACAGCTCCGTTGCAGGTCCGCTACAGCTCCGTTACAGCATTCTGCTACAGCTCCGTTACAGCTTCCGTTGCAGGTCCGTTACAGCTCCGTAGCAGGTCCGTTACAGCCCCGCTCCAGCTCTGCTACAGCTCCGTTACAGCTCCGTTACAGCTTCCGGTACAGCTCCGTTGCAGGTCCGTTACAGCTCCGTTGCAGGTCCGTTACAGCTCCGTTACAGCTTCTGCTACAGCTCCGTTACAGCTCCGTTACAGCTTCCGGCACAGCTCCGCTGCAGGTCCGTTACAGCTCCGTTGCAGGTCCGCTACAGCTCCGTTACAGCTTCTGCTGCAGCTCCGCTACAGCTCCGTTACAGCTTCCGTTACAGCTTCCGTTACAGCTCCGTTGCAGGTCCGTTACAGCTCCGCTGCAGGTCCGTTACAGCTCCGTTACAGCTTCCGTTACAGCTCCGTTGCAGCTTCCGGTACAGCTCCGTTGCAGGTCCGTTACAGCTCCGTAGCAGGTCTGTTACAGCCCCGCTCCAGCTTCTGCTGCAGCTCCGTTACAGCTTCCGGTACAGCTCCGTTGCAGGTCCGTTACAGCTCCGTTGCAGGTCCGTTACGGCTCCGTTACAGCTTCTGCTACAGCTCTGTTACAGCTTCCGGTACAGCTCCGTAGCAGGTCCGTTACAGCTCCGTTGCAGGTCCGCTACTGCTCCGTTACGGCTTCTGCTGCAGCTCCGCTACAGCTCCGTTACAGCTTCCGTTACAGCTCCGCTGCAGGTCCGTTACAGCTCCGTTGCAGGTCCGCTACAGCTTCTGCTACAGCTCCGTAGCAGGTCCATTACAGCTCCGTTGCAGCTTCTGCAGCTCCGTTACAGCTCCTTTACAGGTCCGTTACAGCTCCGCGACGAATCCGTTACAGCTCCACTACGTTCCGTTACAGTTTCTGTTGTAAGCCCCGTTGCCGGCACGGAGTCGCCAGGGTTTCTGTCATAGTAGAGGCCTACAAATGATGGTAGAGAACACCCCCAACGCGAAGAGCTTCGAGAGTTGCAAGCCACTTTTGAGCCGCCATGATGAATGCTTTGCAAAGCACGAACTCCCGCCCTCGACTGGCAGTATGTCGCATTCAATGGTGCTCGTAGCATCTTTCGTTTTCTCACCTGGCATCCGTGAGAGGCGCGCTCGGCTGTATCCATGTGAGCTGCGTCCGAAAACCTTTGTTTTGCTTGAATCTTAACATGATAAAAAATGCAAAAAGGCCGCGCGCACAAGGTGCGCGCAAGCGCGGACCAAGGGACGCGCAAGGTCTAAAGCTAAGAATTGAATGTCTTGTTGTGTGTATAAGACACGCAACACTCACATTGTGAGTGTTGCTTCGACGATGCCCCGTAAGCATCATGAAACCTTCCAAGCCAGGCCTTGGCCGGGCATCCCGATCGCAAGACAAAAAGAAACCTAAGCACCTTCAACCCCAAGCTGCGAAAAGCCTCATGCCCGAAGGGAAGGGGCAAAACACAGCTGCAGGACCCTCTGGAGCCACAGCCGCAAAACCTGCACAGGACTGGTGCTTGATGAGCCATCCCTCGACCGGTTATGGCGACCCGAAGTGTGCGTCTGGTGTGGGCTTCGGTCACATGCATCCTGGACGAACACTGGGGGCAAAAAAGAATAGAGAATTTCAAGGCCTGGTCGGATGTTCGTAGCTGAACTGAGCTCAGCCACTCATAGAACCAGAGAACTTCAGCCTTTGCTTTGCATCTGCTTGTTTTGCTTTCCCATGACAGTGTGCACCTGACAGTTGCACAGGTTCACTCTGAATGATGCTGGCCGTGGCTTGGCATATCATGGCAGATGGTACAATGTCTGATGGTGGCCTATATGCGGGGAGCGGAATGCTTGGTTGAAAAGCAGGCATCAACAAGTCACGACCGGAAAAGCCTTCGTAACTCAGCAGCTCAGCCGGCTGAACTCAGGCGAGACTATCAAGAACCAAGCGCTTGCGGGCCACAATTACCTCGGGCTTGCCGGAATGATGGCATGCATCTGCCGCTGGTCTGACCCATAGGCCAAGATGTACGTTGTTTTGCAACGGCTCAAGGGCCAAGCAAGAGGCCTCAGATCACTTCTGGAGTCCGGCCCAGCGGCCCAGGCCAGAACGGAGAGACCTGCCTCGTCTGCAACGCGGACGGATCCATGAAGGGTGCTGGCACAGGCCCGGAGACGAGAGTGGCTAAGGCTTATGGCTTATGGGAGTTGCCGAAAATAACGGTGTACCTTCAAAGGGACACATAAGGGTTCCTTACAGGTATTTATAAGGGTTCTTTCAAGGTTGAGGGTTTAGAGTTTCCGAAAATTGGGGGTACCTTCTTTTGGGGTCCTGATAATGAGGATCCTTGTATTTGGGGTTCTATATTGGGGTCCCCTATTTTCGGAAACTCCCACATGTTGAGGTGGGAAATGAAGCCTAAGAGGCTTCGGGCAAGACAGGACCAAACATATATATATATATATATATATATACATATATACATATATACATATATACATATATATATATATATAGCCTTGTTGTCAGGAGGACCGCTAGACGAGGTATTCCTGACTTCAACCACCTTAAGTTAGGGCCCCTAAGCAAGCTGCCTGCTTGCCAGCTGATCCGAAGACGGCTTGGCCAGCTTCAGCCCCTCGGCTTGCTGGAGCACTCCCTTGCCGACCTTACGTAGCGATTTCGGTTCTTCTGAGTTACGGGTCAAGCTCTTGAAGCGATCTCGCATTCAGTCAACATGGGTGCCTAGTGCAACTTCTTAAACTTCTCACCGAGCCTTCACACCCCTTGCTTGGTCGCTCCTGTCCACAGTGGAAATAATACAGTAGAGCAGCTTGACAGAGACAGAGAATACATGGAATACAGCATAGTCTTGCTTACTGTGAAGTCAGCTCCTGGCTGTGTATAACGGACAGGCTAACCTGCCTTGGATGCCATATCTTTTTGATGGCCCGAGATCCAAACCTGCATCACCAACTGGAAGAACAACGTGATCACCTTGTCCCAGGCAGGTGGGAGTTCTGACAATCCAATAAAGTGGTCTCAATCGGAAATCGGGTTATTGTACATTTTGCAACAAGATTTCTACATCTTGAGATTGCGACTATCCTCGGTGTTGTGTGCATTTGTACGTTTGCAATTTTTAGACAACTACCGCAAGAAGCTCAGACTTTCCTGTAGCCGTCGTGTGCGGCTGTCACCTCGGTTGACGAACGGTTGGTGGGCGTGAAGCTCGGGCGGCCTGACCAGCATCCAAAGCCCGGGACAGAGAAACAGAGAGAGAGAGAGAGAGGCGGATGGGGTTTGCTTCCAAAGAGGCCGCAGCGACTGGGCCGACGACAACCACGACTCCCTGCAGAAATCCATCAGATTTTGGGTTTAGGGTTTAGCTCTTTAGCTTCTTTTTGTCTTATGAGTGTTTAGGCATCTGAATCTTTGTCTCCCTGATCCTGCCTGGCTGTGTCTGTCCTTGTCCTTCGTTTGTTGATTGGAGCCCTTGGCAGTTCTGAAAGACCGAAGACTTCTTACGAACCTCCAAAAGCAAAGTAGCCTGGCAGAGAACACGCGTTCTTTTGAGAAGGGAGACAACAAACAGCACCTTTTGCAGGCGTCCTTGTAGTACGGATCCCTTGCAGCTAAGCACTAGTAAGTACTATCACTTTAAACCTAAACCCTAAAAAAACTAAACCTTCAACCCTTCCATTCCGGGTCCATACTGAGGACGACCCTGGATCCGACTTCAGCCCTGGGACAGTTCTGTGCTGAGACCAGTGGCCGCAGTTTCGGATCCTCGGCGGGCACATTGAAAGCGGCTGATGGGTATATGGGCGTATCGGAAACTGTGGGATCCCAAGCAATCATTGACTCTGCTCGTATAAGTAAGCACCGTAAATAGACAATTGAGTTCGTGTGTGTGTGTGTACACATAATGTTTGTCGCATATATGTGTTATATATATATATATATATATGTTGTACTATATGTCTGTAGTGTACATATGCATCTATATGTATGCGTATACATACAGGCGTACATGCGTATGTATGTATGAACGTATGTTGTACTGTCTGCAGCCCCGACTGGTACGACTCTTCTTATGGGGAGCCTTAAATAAGTTTGGACAACAGGTCCGTATCAGACAGCTTTTTGAGCATTTGAATACAAACGTTTCGGCCGTGGTTTGTCGAGATCGCTAGTGTGCGTCTGCCATTGTCTTGGTAAAGCCGGTGGTGCCGGGCAAGCCACTGCTTCCGCAGTACTCGCTGATGGGTCTTACATGTAGTTAGTGGGGTGTCTTGACCAAGGTTTGAGTGTATGGCCTAGTTGCGCAATGTGAGACTCGAGGTAAGTCGAAGGCAACCCAGTGGTTTGCAAGAAAGCCCCAGCATGTTCCAGCACATTGGGGACCCTGGTTCAGTTAGGCCTTATTCTGTCCCTAGCCTTTCCTGGCAGCTCAAACTCGATAGCTCGTCGTACCCTGAAGCCGAAGACACCTCAAGCTTGCGGACAGGACCCCCTACGCCCACTGGGCCACTCAACATGGTGCTGCTTCTTGGACTTCAGGTTGAAGCACTACTTGGGTCATACCTTTCCCTAAGGCAGCCCTGCAGCACCGAACAGGCATGCATGCCCATCTGCCGTACGTATGTGTACCACCCAAACCCTGGTGTCTCACACCAGTGTTGGGGACCCTCGTCCGTCTTCGACGGGTTGATCCTTGCTTTCCGACATATCAGAAGACCACTAAACCCCGATACGCACCTGATGCAGGGAAGCGCATGAGGCATGTGGATGCAGAGATAATTCGCTTCAGCCCATGACCTCTTGCAACTTCAAACGATAAGCGAAACTTTAGATTGTCTTTGTGCTGTTCTGTGTTGGAAACCCCTCAGCAAGCTTGAAGGCACAAAGCTGCCACGCGGCCATGTCAGGTATACTAGCTTTAACTTTCTTAAATCTTCCAGCCAGCCCGTCCAAAAGCACATGCGCAATAAACGTCTGTTCAGGCTGAACATGCTGGAGCAGAATATGTACAACACCATTATGGCAGGATGTGGCTCGGGCCGCATCTGTGTGCGGCAGCGAATGATCACAAGTCATGCGGATGTTCAGGGACTTTGGGCATGCTTGCAGTTTAATGCCATCCGTCTCAGGCCTTTGTGGAACTTTGTAACCTAGCCTGGAAAAGCCCAGGGATGCCATCGGTAAGAGTCGACAAGCCGAGACTTATACACATGTAAGACGCAGGGCTTGGAGCTATGAAGTTGCTGGTCGCGTCATGGCCATTACATCTCCAAGCTTGCATCCGCAAAGCTAAAAACTAGCCTCAAAGCCTCAAGAACCGAATCCGAGTTGAAGTTCGAAGCTGCAGTCCTAACGACGGCTTGAAACTTCTTCAGGTGCGACCAACATGACCTGTGGGTGACTTGGCTGGGGAAGTGCTGCAGATGCCCACTGCGGCCCGGGCACGTCTTAACGTGGGGTTCCCGGCACCCAAGCTTGCCCAAAGCTCCCACATGGGAGATCTTGCTGATGAGTTCCGCCGTGGAGTTGTGGTGTTGCGGGTAGTTGGGAAGCATGCAGCAACATGCAGCACTGTGTAAACTACGGCCATGCGATGCTGAAAGTTAGATGCTTGTGCTCTTTTTCTGCTACAGGTGCAGAGTCTACTAGAAAGTGAATGCATGTCTCCCACGATACGATCTTCCGAGAGCACTTTGTGCGACCATATGCAACGATTGTCATGATCCAGCTTCGCATAGCGCTGGAACCTGGGAAGTTCTGGGTCCGTGCCGTTTTGCTGGTGTTCACAAACCCAAATCTGAGGTGGTCGCCGCCGTCCCTCGCTTGCAAGATGCGGTTGACGGCACACGTCGCACCCCTCGAATGCTCTGTGCACAAGCCAAGGCGTAGTCGCAGTCTCTGTGCAGAGTCGAATAGCCCCAAGTCAATGTGCAATCCTCATAGCTGAGGGGAACTCACCAAATTTGCAGCTCCACCGCCTACTATCCCGCCACGGACGCGACGGGACTTGTGACAGGGACGGCCAAAGAGGCCGGGTCACGCCAAACTTTTCTCGGTTAAAGATAGTTACGATGTTACGTTAAGGCCTCTTCGCATGGAATGAACTTCGAGACTGAGACCAGATTTAGTATTTTCTTGCGAAGTTGAAGTTAGCTTCCGCAAGCCGTGGCCATGCTTGGGTCCCTAAACCCCTTCGTGTGGAGCCTCGGCTTTCGAGGCCATCTTGGAAAAGATGTGCGACCCATCGCTTCCTCTGTGGTGGAATGCCAAGCACACCGACTGCACATGACATTTCAGAAGGTTTTCCTGGGGCCTCCGAATTCCGGAAGTGGTAGGGCAGTTAGAAGCTGCGGCCTCCGAGTCGACCAGACGTTTCGTGGGATGTCTCAAGCCCACTGCATGACGTGTAGTCAGTGTATTCTGGAGGATTGTCTTGGGCTTCGGTGGGTTTAGGGTTTAACCCATCTGCGTCTGCCAGCCTCGCTGAGCAGTGTCACTGCAAGTTCGGATCTTTATGAGTGAGGCATTCGGCAGTGGGTGCGCTCGATTTTTTCGATGTTGGCCGTTGTACCTAGCTCAGGGTTTTGACTTGTGGCCCCGTGTCCAGACTCTGGAAGAACACCAAGTACAGCCCCTGCAATAAACAAGGGCCTGCATTGCAGGCATAGCAGGTTTCCTCGAGTATTGGGAATCCGTGCTTGAAGTGTTCTTACCAACGACCTACAAGGAACACCTTCATGCCCATTAGCTTCGATTGCGAAGCCCGCAGCTTGGCAAGCTCTGCTAGTTGCAGGTGCATGTGAAGCATCAGCAACTCCAATGGGCTTTGCGAAGCATTCTGCATGCTGGGTGCCTTCAGGGCTTAATTCTGCATGCTGTCGTGGAAGCATATCAGGTGAGACGGTGACCCAAAGCTTACTTCTGCTGTCCTAGAAGTGCACGGCTTCGGAAGAGTCCTAGAGATTCACGGTCGAAGGCACTGCGAGCTTTTGCCTGGCCTCTATTCATACACTGGCTTCGCTTCCTCACCACAGAGTTGGCTTGCAAGGGTGCTGGGAGAGCAGCAAGAATGCTTTCAAAACAGCCTTGCGACAACCGGCTGCCCTGCCTAGCAGCCTAGAATGCAGTGCCCTAAGTCCTGAATCGACCCGTTTCCGAGGAAAGAGCAAGTACGCGCTGTCCCGCTTCTTTGCAGGTGCAGGGCTTGGCTGCGGTTTGAAGGTCTCGGGTGTCAGAGTCTTTCTGGGCGCCTGTTCAAGGGAGTGGCGCCTTGGAGACCCAAGCCCCTTGCCACTCCCCAAATGCAACCTGAACATTGAATCCTACCCTAAAGGTGCGAAACCTTAGCCCAAATCCCAAGGGCTTGACAAGGCAGAACTAAAATCCGAAGCTTTCAAAAAATCCCAAGCCTTAAACCCTTAACCCTCTATCCTCGAACGTGAGAATGCATGGAGAATGGTTAACATGAGTCCTTAAAGCTACATGTTCAAGTGTTTCGAACGTCTCAGAGGTCTTGGAAGGGCTCTCATAGAGCTTTGGAGTTTAGGGTTTAGGTCGACGAGGGTTGGGGGTTAAGGTTTCTTGCATTTGTTCGAAAGATCCGTTAGACCTTTACCCTAAGCCCTAAACCCTAAGCCCCTGAACCCTAAACCCCTGAACCCTAAACTCTATAAACCCTAAACCCTGAAACCCTATACCCTGAATTCCTGAACTGGGACAAGGTTTCATGGAACTGAGATCCCGGCCACGGAAGGCTCCCCTGGCCCTGAACCCGAAACCCTAAAAAAAAACACCTTCGGGTGCACAACAAGTTCATGTTTGGTATAGCGATGCTGTTGCGAATGAGACTTGCAAAGCCGGGGAGTTGGGGCTCTAGTGTTTCGGGTTGAGGGCTCAAGACGGCCAGGGGCTGTACTGATTATCGATTTGTGATAGTTGTTAATTTCCCTTAGTATTTAACCCTCAACCCTAAGCTGCAATTATACATATGCCTGGGGACTGTTGAAATTGGTAGCCAGGTCTCGAGTCTGTATGAGTCGGTGGAGGCCTCCAAATATTTTAGGGTTTAGGGTTCAGTGGCAGGCAAGTTTGCCAACGATTTTCCTTCGCTGAGTAGAAGTATACACAAAGATACACTAAAATCCTCTTCTAGAAAATGGGGCTCCTGAATGTCATGATCAATTAAGCTGTAGTCTTGGGTCCTGCATCAAGCGACCACCCTGCGAAGCATCATGTCGATTTCTGTGCACGTGCATCTGCTGAGCGGCAAGAGTGCCTGTCTGGAAGTGGAGGCAGATGCATCTGTTGAGTCATTGAAGCTTCGTGCCCAGAGTGTCCTGGTCGTGGGTAGAGGAAGGCTGCTGAATTCCTCTGGAGAGGCGCTGAGCGGATCACAAACTATTGCAGAAGCGAAGTTGATGAGTGGAGACGTGCTCACTCTACATGTGAACCAAGTCCAGCTTAAAGCCACCAGGAAAGGCAACCTTTTCTCTGCATTCGCCGCGCTCCTGTATGATGGATCTGTGGTCGCCTGGGATAGGGCCGCTCATGGTGGCGACAGCAGTGCCGTCCAGGAGCAGCTGAAGAATGTGCAGCAGATCCAAGCTTCTGTTTGTGCCTTTGCTGCAATCCTAGGTGATGGAGCTGTGGTCACTTGGGGTAGTGTCGCCTTTGGTGGCGACAGCAGTGCCGTCCAGGAGCAGCTGAAGAATGTGCAGCAAATCCAAGCTTCTGATAGTGCTTTCGCTGCAATCCGGGGCGATGGATCTGTCGTGACCTGGGGGAAAGCCAGATATGGTGGTGACAGCAGTGCGGTACAGGATCAGCTGAAGAATGTGCAGCACATCCAAGCTTCTGGTGGTGCATTTGCTGCAATCCTAAGTGATGGAGCTGTGGTCACTTGGGGCCGTGCCGACTGTGGTGGCGACAGCAGTGCCGTCCAGGAGCAGCTGAAGAATGTGCAGCAAATCCAGGCTTCGCGTGTCGCATTTGCTGCAATCCTGGGTGACGGATTTGTGGTCACCTGGGGTAGGGCCGACCATGGTGGCAACAGCAGTGCCGTCCAGGAGCAGCTGAAGACTGTGCAGCAGATCCAATCTTCTCACTCGGCATTTGCTGCAATCCTGGGTGATGGAGCTGTGGTCACTTGGGGAGGTGTCGACTTTGGTGGCGACGGCATTGCCGTTCAGGAGCAGCTGAAGAATGTGCAGCAAATCCAAGCTTCTGATAGTGTTTTCGCTGCAATCCGGGGCGATGGATCTGTCGTGACCTGGGGGAAAGCCAGATATGGTGGTGACAGCAGTGCGGTACAGGATCAGCTGAAGAATGTGCAGCACATCCAAGCTTCTGGTGATGCATTTGCTGCAATCCTAAGTGATGGAGCTGTGGTCACTTGGGGCCGTGCCGACTGTGGTGGCGACAGCAGTGCCGTCCAGGAGCAGCTGAAGAATGTGCAGCAAATCCAGGCTTCGCGTGTCGCATTTGCTGCAATCCTGGGTCATGGAGCTGTGGTCACTTGGGGCAGTGCCCTTGCTGGTGGCGACAGCAGTGCCGTCCAAGAGCAGCTGAAGAATGTGCAGCACATCCAAGCTTCCGATTGTTCTTTTTCTGCAATCCTGGACGATGGATCTGTCGTGACCTGGGGGATGGCCGGATTTGGTGGCGACAGCAGTGCGGTCCAGGATCAGCTGCGCCATGTGTAGAAGTCGTTTCCGACTAGAAGTGAGAACTGCTTGTGACTTCATGGTTTCAGTGGGTTGCTGAAGGTTGCAGCCTTAGTTAATGCAAGGTTACTTCCACACGTGACACTGCGCTTCACGCTTCTCAACAATGTTATATTTGTTACAAGTTGTTGCTTGGCCATTTCTCTCTCTGCGAGTTCGGCTCATATCTCACAGGTTTCAGTTTTGATCTGATATGTCTGATCAACCTCCGGTCTTTCTGCTCCTCAGTGCCGGGGAGCGGCTTAGCCGCATCCCGTGTCCGGCCTCTCTGCTTTAGGGCTTCTAAGACTTTGTAGGGTTCAGGGTTTATTCATGGGGTTTACAGTATGGTCTTTAGAGGGTTTATGGAGCTGATTGGTTTTTTTCGTCTATGTGCCTTTGGGGACACGGTTTTCCCACTCTCGTTTGTAGGCTGTCGTCCTAGTCGTCTAGGCCGTTTCTGCCGAAGGTAGTCGCCTAGCAGAGTGACTTGACATGTGATGGATGTTTGGCGCTGATGCCCCTCCAACCGTCAGTATTAGAACTTTGTGGCGCCAGTTTGTATTGAGATCAGCGGCGAAACCCGAAGCTGTTTGGATTTGAGTTTTGTATATTATGTCTTGCAAACCCGAAGCTCTTTGGCTTTTGGCTTTTGTATAGTAGGTCTTGCGGTTCTGAGGCCCCAACTCTTTACGCCACATGAGGGTTCTTTTCAAGTCGTTTCAGAGGAGGGGCAATTGGGATACACTGCTTTACGCAGAGATCTTAAACGGACAGGGGGAGGCAAATTGCGTTATCACATCCCAGGCCTACCTATAGAGGCTCCATAGTTCCTTTTTGTGGTTCATATATAGAATCCTATAATTTAATCCCAAGAAGGAACAACTATGGAGCCTGTGGGTATAGGTGGCCCTCAACGATGCCAAATGACCACCGAAAATCTGAACCCAGCGACACACACACACACGCACACACATGCACGCACGCCCACAAGACACTTCCCCCCAACACCCAAGTGACAGTGGCCAGAGACACAGAACTGCACTTTATCTGGGTCTAGGCTTTTTCGGGTTCAGGGATTAGGGTTTAGGGCTCAAAGGGCTAACAGGGCATTGGGTTCAGGGCTAAAAGGGCTTGGAAGTACATTTAGGCCAATAAAGCTAAATCACGGAAACCTTAAAGCTCCAAACCCCTTAAAACCCTAACTGCTGATTGCTACCTGCACCCTCTGTCCGGCACAGCGTCGTCAGGCGCCAACGACCCAGATGATCAGGACGGATGGCAGAGTGTGCTGACTAGGCCCTCGGCTTCCACTCATCTTTTGCAGGTTCCGGGTTGCCTGCTTTGATGCAGGACGAGGGCAAGAAGTTCCAGACCGGCTATGTCGAGGGCCGAAACGGATGGTGCCGGGCCCGGATCAGGGTAGTTGCGTCGGTGGATCCTTATTCACCTCACCGCATGGCATCCGACCGGTTTTCGACGGTGTTCCAGAAGTTTGTGGTTTTGCTTTGCGGCCTGACATCTTCCATCTTATAGAACATGTAATGCACGACGTACCCCAAAACCCTGCTGAAACTGTTAGGGCTTCTCTCAGTCATGGTGACAGGTACTCCAAGGCAGCAGCGATCGAGGTCCGCAGCCTCTGTCTTTTAGTCTTGTTTCCGGTCCTGGCAACGGCTGCAGCTGCTGTTTGGGCAATGTAGGGCCTGAAGTGTGGGCTAGAGTATGTACATGCGGCTACAGTTCCGCAACTAGCAGGAAGACCATTATGTGGAGGCTTTGGGCCGTCCTTCAGTTTCGACCAGCATACAATCCGTGAGTTTGGCAGGGCAAGATGCGAGCCCTTAACGTGTAAGAAGGGTTCTCGGCCAGTGTTCCTCCTCTTTCTGCTCCTCTTTCTCACGAGGCAAAGTACGAGCGCGAGCATGGAAGCAAGCTCCGCATCATGCTCTTCTCAGGCTTCGGTCATCCGTGCGACTGATGAAATCGGGGTAAGCAGCAAGAGGTGGCTAGTCACGTATGAGCCCTGGCAGATTCGGGACTCGTCGGGGCCTCGCAGGTGCAACCCTGGTGGCCCAGTATCTTGGAATTCTGCTGGTGGATGGCTTCCTGTCATTGGGCTCCTTGGTGTGCCGCGGCTGCAGCCTCTGGGGAAATTCCTTTCGGAGAACTCCCCTGTGATGTAAGTTCGCATCAAACACCGGTTTGCACAACACAACCTTTTCCTGCGAGTGTTTCAGAGGCTTTTCTGCGGCCTGTTTGTGCGAAGATGGCCCTAAGAATACGTCCCATGACTTGCCAGCTTGCAGGTCAGTCTGGGCATACATGTGGCTGATGCTGGAGAGTGTTTTCCTCGCGTCTTGTGGCATGTTCGAGCTGCTTGGTGGCAACATGTCATGCGGCACTCATCTCCGGACATTCCGTAGTATGGGAAACTCATGCCGCTTTCCCAGAAAACAAGAGGCCGCGCTGTAGCAACGGAGTTCATTGAAATGAATCAAAGACCTTGCCCAGGATCATTTTCTCCCTTCCAGTGGGAATGTGCCTTTGGGTGCTGGCCACTTGGCCCCGCGATGCCAGCCTCATCTGCAGCTAATGTTTGCTCTTCGCCACCCGCAGGCGGTTTCCGTACGGTAGCGGAAGTTTGTGAGCGCGAGAACCCACGCCCGAACCCCTAAAGGACTAAAGCTGCTTAAAGAAGTGTCCAGTGCGCAGTGGAATGTGCCAATGCCAAAAAGCCCAGATCCTGGGACAGAAGATCTTCTGGTATCAGATGCGGCCCTGGCTGAAGATTGGGGCTTTGGCAGGGTCTCCTTCCGGCTGAAGTTTCGATGCGAAGTGGTCTTGACATAGAGAGCCAGCCTCTCGTGCGCTGCAGCTGTGCCGAGCGACGACCTCGCTGTGATCTCGAAATGAGCCTCGTGCCTGGAAAGGCTGGTGATCTACATGATCCTGGGTATCGGCGCTGACGATGCGCCACGCACTGCAGTGAGACATAGCCAGTTGACCCCAGCAGCCCTCACGGCGAAGATTCCGAAGCGTCACACATGGGAGTGGAAGGTTTCATTTCGATGAGAATCAAAGCCACGGATCCCAGTGCAGCTCAAGGCTGTGGTTGTCTTGTCGTGAGACGACGGCTTCACTGAGGTCTTCATCCTGTACGATGCCTGGCTTCAGTCAGCACACACCGAGGGTGTGAGCCGGACGCCCAGCATCCCCGAGCCTTCACGGGAGGGTTCTGACCCTCGAGATGTCCGAGGGTGATCCTACCAGTAGCAGCCAAGAGCATCATCCAAGGCCACAGCCGAACCACTCGATTCTGCTGGGCCTATCGCCGCTCTGTAGGTGCAATGCTGGTCGCTCGGCCTGCTTGCGTCTTCGGGCCTCATGGGCTTGGGTCACAAAGCTTCATTTCCCTCAACTTCACGCTTGGAGAGTTTATTGCTCGGTCATGGTCTTTCCTTGGGGAGGGGGGAGGCCCTTGCAAAGGATATCTACCTGCCTGAAGCACAGCTTGTCGCACAATGCTGTGGCTGCTTTTACAGAGGTGTCTGGGCATGTGCAGCACAGCTACAAACCCCCCGACAACGCCGCGTGATCCCCTAGCCTCGATTGCTTTCAATTGCTCTAGTTAACAAGCCCGTTAGGACAGAACCGCATCATCAAAAGCAAGCGAAGGCTTAGATAGAGTCTCAACCAACAGTCCCTGTTTTCCCTCACGCCAAGCGCACAGACAGCAAACAAGAATGAGCTGGAAGCAAAACAGACAGGTCACCACGCTGACGACCTGTGGATCCTTCGTGCCTTTGCTGAGTTGGCTGCTGGCTCTGGCAGTTGAGAGTGACTACGAGAACGGGCAGCGATGCGCCATAGCGTAATAGTGAAATGGTGTTACACTCATTATTGCTCATTTCTCGTTGTTGGTATTGTTGTTGCTGTCAGTATTGCCCCAACAGTCATTATGATGGTTACAATTCGTTTACAATGGCTATCAATCTATATCGTGCTATAATATCATAAAATCATATCATATTCTGTTCTATATCACGACTCTAGTACATTATATCTCGGTTTATCATTACTGTCTGGTGTGTAGAAGAGCCCGTGCCCCTGTGCTTGTCCGCAAAGCCAGTTCATCGGCGCGACCTCGCCGCTGCCTTTGGTGCAGAGCTTCTGCTGCTCGGAACGAGCAGCTCCAGTTTGTCGGGCAACATACGATGGAAGGCGTCCACGTCACTAGCGTACTCCTTAGCTTCTCTTTGTTCCAAGTTCTTGGTCTCTACTGAAGCCGAGATCGGAAAGTGCTGGGAGACGTTGGCATCACTGATTATGCAGGTGTAAAGGTTTCAGTCCGAGGCTTGTCTTAGACTCGCCGGCAGTTGCCGTCGTCAGGTGTGAGAACACATCATCAAGCAACTCTCATTTCCGAATGTGTCGGTGAGTTGGGACCCTGGGAGTTTCCCATGTGCTGTGGTGAGGCATCTTCGCCGCAGTCGTCGTCCTGGTCGACTACCTCTTCTGCACCTCGGGCAGCCTTTAAGTCAAAGAGTCTCTGGCCCAGAGTGAGATCGGTGCTCAGTTATCCTGTTTGTGGACTAGAAAGGCATCAGCTTCTTCGCCTCGGCGGTCTTGGTCTACGAGGAGTGGATGAAGGCTGTGCTGCTCACAGTGTAGACCCTGCATCAAAGAGCATGTTTGCCTGGTCACCCTGCAGGCCCCCCAAACCACCGCAGGTCTAACCTCGTTTTATTGCCGCGCGAGGGGGAAAAAGAAACGCCAGAAGCTCCCGCCTCCCGCCCAGGGCGTCGGCTACTGCTGCCGCTGCTGCGGTATCCCTCTCCGAGAGCCAGGAACATGCCTCGGCTCCTCGGCGAAGTGAAAAGGCCCATGAGACTTCGGAGATCCTAAGCACGAAAGGGACCCCCGCCCTCATGTTTGGGTCCCCAAAGGCAGCACAAGGGACTGCCAGACACGCTTATCAACAGAGCAGTGAAGGGGGCTCTCCCCAGCGTTGATCTTCCACCGCGAAAATGAGACAGGGCGTCTCCGTTTTCAGAGGATGTTGCGAGTTGTGTTGAAAGCAGCCGATTCGTTTGAAGGAAAGCTTGATGTGCGTACAGCAGCTGCCCCCAAACCCCTGTTCGTAAACGCTAAACCCCACAAATGTAAGGCCCGGGCTGCTGCTTTGGCGGTCTGCGTGCCTGCTTGTCCTGCTGCGGCGGCAGCTGGAGAGCGTGGGGGGGGGGGGGAGGCAGACTTGTCGCGACAAGGGCAACAAGATGATGGGTTTACCTTGATCTGAGATGGTAGTTGCTCCCGGTATGGTGTCACACTGCAGAGCCCGACACTGTATCCTACCTGACAAGCTTCTCAAGCCTAGACGAAGACACCAGCACTGCACTGGCGTCGATGAAAGTCGCAGGAAATTGGTGCCCAAGCCGCCCAAGGCAGACGAACCTCCAGCCGGCTGCCGAAATTCGGGGTACGGGAGGGCATCCTTGAACTTTAGCTACTGACGTGAGGCTGGGGTTCAGGGAACCGTCCGCAGAAGGCATGTCCGTTTGGGTGAGAGCCCCGCTGTCAGTTTTTTCCAAGGAGCAGCGTGCGATGGAAAAGTTCTTCGCAGGACGGGGCTGCACTGAATAGTCCTGAAAACGAGCTAAACAGTGCAACTGGGAGCACTGCCAGCAAAAGATTGAGTGCATGTAGGGAGCGACCGGCGTCTGTCGTCGTGGATGCATCGTAGCCTTGTGATTCTGAGTGATGCGGACAAAGACGTCCGAAAATTCAAGCAACCACAGCTACCAGTGACTGAAGACTGCCAGGGCCTGCCTACCGTGCCTGGGCTGCACTGCAGATCCCCAGCTACTTCGAAGCTCCGCAGAGTGACCGAAGAGAAAGCGAGGCTTCTACGACAATCACAAGATCAAGCTGATCCTGTTTTGGTTGGTGGTGGTGCCTTGCATGGATGAAGAATAGTGTCGGCTGCATATATCGGAACCTTCGGGAGACGTGGCAAGGATGACGGAAACTCTTACTGTCGTGAGAGCAGAACCACCGTTCTCAGTGCTTTCTGTGCCTCTGATGCTGAACCCCCCTGTCTGTCCGATGCTGCAGAGAGACTTCCACACTAAAAGCTTAGAGTCGTGACGTCAAGTCTCCGGGATGTATGGACAGCTCCACTACAAGAGTGATAGAAACTACCTACAAGTGTCCTGCGGCAGCCTAAAAAATTTGAAATCACATCTACAGCCCAGAACTGAACGGGGTGCGCTGTCTGTTCTGGCGTTCAAACGGACACAGCCTTCAGCCACTAGGTCATCGGCATGGCGACGAGCGCCGGCGTGCAGCTCCGCACAGCCAAGAAGCGGGTCGGCCCCTGAGTCAGTCTGTGGGACTGCGGTACCGGCCGCATAGAGGCCTTGGGGGAGTTGTTTTGGAATGACGCTGTGGTCTCTGGCATGTCCAACCCTTGGCCTTTACACTGGAATTCAAGATTGGGGTAGCGGGGGGTTTTGGCTGGCCATGCCGGCACTTGAACTTGGCTGGGGGGGACATGAAGCAATTTGTGAAGCACTTTGATTCTGTGAATCTGAGGCGCCGATTGGGCGAGAGAACATCGACGTCATCAAGGGCTGCTGGGCGTTTAAACTCGGAAAGTACCTGTGACAAGAAATCTGCGGACGATACGTCGGGGCTGACCTCCCTCCAGCACGCCAAGGATCCGACATCCTCTTCTCGGAGCTTCTCGGCCTGTGGCGGGAGGGATGCGCAAGATCCGGTCAGAGCTCAGAAGTGGGGGTTGAAAACCTGTCGCATGGGCAGAGCTGCAGCTGGGAGCAGGGCCTAGCCAGAAAGACCAAGTTTTGTTCGAAGGGTCACAGCGAGAAGTGCTGGCAGTTCAGGTTCGAGTTCTCCACTCGCCCGGTTACTGCCTCCATTGTGTTTGGCCTCAACGAAGAGAGACTTGGCTCATAAGGAGTGTCCCATCCGATGAGTAAGGCGCATGCCTAAATTACATGGACGAGGTAGGCTTTCTAGGTCGCCAGGTGCGTGCGAGGTGATTGCTCGGGGCTCGGGTTGTTGAAGGCCTTGTCACTGACCTTTGACTTTCTAAGGCCTCCCAATAAGAAGGTGGCACATTACATGAACTTCTATGCCTATGCGCTATAAGGGGGTGCATCGTCTCGACCTTTTTGGACTCGTGGCTACTGCAGGTGTGCTACAGCAGGTGCGCGCGAGATCCACTTTGCAGAGCGGTTTCGCCAGGGTTAAAAAAGGCGTCTGCCGGTCAGACACTTCGATACCCCGGCTGCGAGGTCCCCTGTGACGTGGGCACGGGAGATCGCCGACTCCACGACGAATGCGCCGAACTTCGGAGGAGCGCCTGGAATGGTCTCGATGCTTCACTTTGGACACAAGTTACGTACGAAGCTGGGGAAGTGGATTGTGTTTCGGAGGCGACATGAACAGGTAAGTGCATTGACACCCGTGTAGGTGATGTGCAGGGCGGGTTGCAAAGAACCTGTACTCTGAGAGCTCTGTCGAGACTGTCCAACTCAGTGTCGAACCAGCTGAAGATCTTTGAGGGTCGCATCATACGGGGAGGAAAAGTGGAAGTTCAATACTTGCCCAAGCTCAGCCGAGCTGCCAAGCGCGAGACTCCAAAGTCCTACAAAACCTCGTAACCAAATAGGCCTGATCCCCCCCCTCAACCCGAGAACCCAAGATGGAGTTTGGTGACAGAAGAAAGCTACGCTTGCAATGAGCTCGCAAGAGTCTGGCATTGAGAAGTCAAGGGGCCCAGCCCGGAGGCGCCCCGATTGTTCGAGCAGCCGAGTTTGATCAAGATGTATCAGAATACCGGATACAACCCCTGGAAAGCTTCCCCTTAGAGTCCCACGTCAAAAGGAAGCTCCGCAAGCGACCTCGCCAAGCCGGCCCATCAACTCGAGCTGCTGGCGCTCCGAATGGGGGCAAGGGCTTGTGTAGCTATTCATCATGTGTCTCATCATCCAAGATTGATATTGTACTGCAAAAGGGCAGTGACCTAGATAGGTGGCTTTTCGTGTTTCCTTTAAGCCCAACAACTTCTATGGCATCGGACGCTTCGATCCACCGCTGACGAAGGCGGCTCAAGGCTGCATGAGTTGTATGAAGTTGCATGTGTTGTAGCTTTTGCCTTTCTCCAGACTTTGGATGGCCGCGCTCGTGCCGCAGAAGCCTTCGATGCCACCTCCGTCTTCCAAGTCGCCTCGTCGTCGCATGAGTGCTACGCCACCGGCCTCGCAGCAGAGCAGCACAAGATCCAAGCCCAGTGCAGCCGACCTTGTGGAATTTCGAGATTGTGTGACGAGCCACTCAGTGAGTCCATCAGTCAGCACGATGTCAGACACCATGTCGGATGTCCAGGAAAGCAGGGTTCACTTCGAGGAAACACCGGAGATCATCTTGTTTCTGAGTGCTGACGAGGGCAGTGCCGAGGAGCTTCCAGTGGTTGCAGAGGAGGATCAGCGAGGCCAGGCAGTCGAGATCGGCGAGACTCCGTCGGCAGTGCCAGCTGGCCATGACGCATGCGAAGGAGGCGGAGGTCTGGCCAACCTTGCCGCAGATGCTTGGTCTGGTCAGCATAATGTTGGCTTCTATAGGTGCTGTAGGCCCCCTATAGGCGAGCAGTTGCCAGACGAACCAACCAAGGAGAGGCGGGACGCCATGCTCCGGAAGCTCTTCCCGGGCACCGAGAGTGCGCGCTTAATACGCCCTCAGCATCCGGTCGATTGGGTAGAATAACTCTGTTTTCTTTTGAAGTTTCGGCGACATGTACAGCAGCATCTCTATGAACAGAGATGTGCGCGAAGATCCCTACGAGATCTAGCACGTGTTGGATTGTGCTTCGCCTTGAGCTGGTCTGTGTGAGCATGTCCTGTCGTAAGGCTTGTCAAATCACAGCCTTTAATCTCTAAGGCCCAATGCCGTAAATTTTGAACTCTGACACTTCCGGCTTCGTTTCGTCACCGCAGCTCGAGGGATGCCAAAGCGACAGCGAGCGCTAGCAGAAGGCTATAGCTGTTCTGTCCTTGCCCAAGCAATGGCGTTGCTGCCGATGGCTCTTTTTATTCGGTCGAAACGGAATGTGAAGGCGCGGGTCTGCAGACGAAGGATGCAGATTCGGTCCGAAGAAGTCTTGTGTTTGATCATGAGCAGCGGTCAGTGCTAACTGATGACCTTCCGCAACATTGGCAATTCCGCTGCCATGCGCTTGTTTCAATAGGCCGTGCATGCAGCCTCACTGCCTAGTGGAGGTTTCTTCCTCCAAGCCGCTGGCAATCAGGTTGAAGCATATGATGTTCGACTTAAGGGCGGACCTTTGCAGCTATTTCGGGACCTGGCACAGTAGCGCGGCTGTCGAGGCTGTCGATGCATGAGGCTACATGCGATATGATTCTTTCAATGTTCATTCTATCATGTTCTCGCACTTGGCGTTATGCTCGCCTGATGCTGCGACAATTCGATTCTCTGCCTGAGCTAGCCGAAAAGAGCCTGAGCTGCTGGCGCTCCGAATGGGGGCAAGGGCTTGTGTAGTTATTCATTGTTATTCATCATGTGTCTCATCATCCAAGATTGATATTTTACTGCAAAAGGGCAGTGACCTAGATAGCTGGCTTTTTGTGTTTCCTTTAAGCCCAACAACTTCTATGGCATCCGACGCTTCGATCCACCGCTGACGAAGGCGGCTCAAGGCTGCATGAGTTGTATGAAGTTGCATGTGTTGTAGCTTTTGCCTTTCTCCAGACTTTGGATGGCCGCGTTCGTGCCGCAGAAGCCTTCGATGCCACCTCCGTCTTCCAAGTCGCCTCGTCGTCGCATGAGTGCTACGCCACCGGCCTCGCAGCAGAGCAGCACAAGATCCAAGCCCAGTGCAGCCGACCTTGTGGAATTTCGAGATTGTGTGACGAGCCACTCAGTGAGTCCATCAGTCAGCACGATGTCAGACACCATGTCGGATGTCCAGGAAAGCAGGGTTCACTTCGAGGAAACACCGGAGATCATCTTGTTTCTGAGTGCTGACGAGGGCAGTGCCGAGGAGCTTCCAGTGGTTGCAGAGGAGGATCAGCGAGGCCAGGCAGTCGAGATCGGCGAGACTCCGTCGGCAGTGCCAGCTGGCCATGACGCATGCGAAGGAGGCGGAGGTCTGGCCAACCTTGCCGCAGATGCTTGGTCTGGTCAGCATAATGTTGGCTTCTATAGGTGCTGTAGGCCCCCTATAGGCGAGCAGTTGCCAGACGAACCAACCAAGGAGAGGCGGGACGCCATGCTCCGGAAGCTCTTCCCGGGCACCGAGAGTGCGCGCTTAATACGCCCTCAGCATCCGGTCGATTGGGTAGAATAACTCTGTTTTCTTTTGAAGTTTCGGCGACATGTACAGCAGCATCTCTATGAACAGAGATGTGCGCGAAGATCCCTACGAGATCTAGCACGTGTTGGATTGTGCTTCGCCTTGAGCTGGTCTGTGTGAGCATGTCCTGTCGTAAGGCTTGTCAAATCACAGCCTTTAATCTCTAAGGCCCAATGCCGTAAATTTTGAACTCTGACACTTCCGGCTTCGTTTCGTCACCGCAGCTCGAGGGATGCCAAAGCGACAGCGAGCGCTAGCAGAAGGCTATAGCTGTTCTGTCCTTGCCCAAGCAATGGCGTTGCTGCCGATGGCTCTTTTAATCGAAACGGAATGTGAAGGCGCGGGTCTGCAGACGAAGGATGCAGATTCGGTCCGAAGAAGTCTTGTGTTTGATCATGAGCAGCGGTCAGTGCTAACTGATGACCTTCCGCAACATTGGCAATTCCGCTGCCATGTGCTTGTTTCAATAGGCCGTGCATGCAGCCTCACTGCCTAGTGGAGGTTTCTTCCTCCAAGCCGCTGGCAATCAGGTTGAAGCATCTGATGTTCGACTTAAGGGCGGACCTTTGCAGCTATTTCGGGACCTGGCACAGTAGCGCGGCTGTCGAGGCTGTCGATGCATGAGGCTACATGCGATATGATTCTTTCAATGTTCATTCTATCATGTTCTCGCACTTGGCGTTATGCTCGCCTGATGCTGCGACAATTCGATTCTCTGCCTGAGCTAGCCGAAAAGAGCCTGATGAGGGTTGGGCGGCGCAGTGGAAAGGGTCTCTTACGTTTCGTGCTGTCCGTTGGTCTTCCTTGACGGGATCTCGAGTCTAAGGGCCCGGCCCGACGGCAGATGTCACAGAACCCGTGTACGAGCACTTGTATGATTCCTACTTTTGGACTCATCCCCGGTGCTGTTATCTTGCTACTGTATCTTGTTATCTTATTAAATTATCCTTTATATTATGTTATTATCTTGCTTGGTGGCATGCGATGATTTTGTGAGATGGTCCTCCTCGTGTTATCGACCTGGTCTGGAAGCCCCCCGCTTCTGGCAGGCCCTCTGCACTGCCGTCGACGTGGGCCAGGCCAGTTCCCTAAACCCAACGACCATCCGAAGCACAGCAGCCGAGCAGTTCAGATAGGATGCCTCACATTGCTAGAGGTGAAGTTAGAGCGACTTGGTTCTGCAGGATGCAGCCAACACGCGATGCGGAAACAGGTGACCTGGCCAAAAGCGAAGAGAATGGCAAGAAAAACTGCAATTCCGTTGGATGCCGCAGACATTATTCATACAAAGTGCGGTATGGTCGTCGGAATCTGCATTCGGATTGGCCTGGCTTGTTGTGTCGACTTGCGGGAACAGTGAGAGATTGCACGCAGGAATGCTAATTGGGCCTGCATGCCTGAGAGGCTGATCTTAGTAAGTTGGCTGCCAAAAACTACTATAGGGGCCTAAATAAATCCCAATACTATTTTAAGGGTTCCTTATTATAAATATTGGGCCCCAAAACCCTATTCTAACTATCAAGGCCCCTATATAATACCTTTTTACGTGTCTTCGGAGCCTGTGCGGACTGAGGGCCTGCTTGGCAAAGGGCTCACCGTTGGCGGGCAACTGCGCGGCCGGGAGGGAGAAAGGGAGGTCTATCTATCTATCTATCTATCTATGTGTGTGTATATGTATATGTATTTTTCTATATATATATATATATATATATATATGCTCCCCCCCCCCCCCCCCGTTGACAGACCGCGGGTCGAAAAAACACCGTGCAGGACCGATATTCTATGAAGCAAAACCTTTACATGAGGTACATAGTATGTTTACATGTAACATGCCATGTACTCAGGACACATGCAGAATGAGTGACGCATGCACCAGACGTGCGGCACATGAGTTACGTAATAGTTTTGTGGTGGTATAGGGGATACGGTGAGAAACATTATTAAGATGATTGTACTATTTTTTGCTGTAAGTATACATATCAATATTGCCAACCATAAACTAGTGTTAGTGCTCATGTTCGTGTTAGAGTTAGCACTAGTGCAATGTCAGTAATACAGTATCAGTCTTAATGCTGGGTTTAAAAGCAGCTTATATTCGCAGAAGTGCTAGTATTAGTATCAATATTAGAACTAGTTAGTTTTGACTTGTTAGTATGTTGATAGTCTCGTATATTAGCAGATTAGTATATCACTACATCAATGTATTCGAACAGTAAAATATTTGCATTCTTGTATACTAGTATATTTTACATGTTAGTACATCTGGTGTATGAAGACACTAGTATATTGGTATATTAGTTTACTAGTATATTAGCAGACCAGTATATTCGTACGTTAGCATATTGGTATACTAGTATGTGTACTATATTCATGTATTGTCTAATCATTTATAAGTATATAAGTATTTTGGCATATTAGTATACGAACTTGTCATGTCGGTATTCTTGCATATTGCAGTAGTCGTATATTAGTATAGTCACATATTAGTATAGTATATTCAGACAACAACGAGAACTATGTTACATTGGTATATGGGTATATGCCTATGCCAAAGCATTAATACATGAATGCACTAATGCATAAATCTGTATCTTAAGATAGTGGTATGTATTTTATGTACATTCGTATATGCAGGTGTCTATTAGTAATGATATTAATTTTCATATCAATATGAATATACTATTGGCATTCGTATGAGCATAAATGTCAGTATTATTAGGATTAGGACTATTTATACTCGTATTAGCCATAATTCCACACACTCGTTTTGAGGGTTGGATCCTTGGGGGCTGGATCAGGGGGGTTTGAAGGCCAAAACCAATTTCCTCAATAGTGCAGTTCAATATACCGATTTAAGGTTTCAAGCTGTTGTAGTATTAGCTTATTTATGTATTTTATTAGGAATTTCAGTACCGGGGGCACGGCCGTTGACCAAAACATTTTAAAGCACACTGGGAAGCCAGCGTGAGGAAACCCTTTTTTGCCAAACATTTTTGCATTTGTCCAAGCCGGATGTATTGAGCGATGGTGTTCGCTTCTGTCCAAGCCGGATGTGTTGGAAGCTGAAACGTGGTCCTTTGTCACGTGCCACTGCTTGGTTGGCTTGGTTGCTTGGTTGGCTTGCTTGGTTGGCTTGCTTGGCTTGGTTCGACTCGCCCTACCCATCCTGCACGCCCCAGCTCAGAGTGGTCTTAGAGACCGCTCCAGTCGGGCTCGGACCACGTGAGCAATGGGTCCTTGATCCGTGCGGGACAGCGTCGCTGGCCGGGCGCTGGGGATTTACTCTGTGTGCTGCTTGCCTGTCCAGCCAGGCGGTGTGTCCGCCGCAGGGTGAAATGCACACAGATTGCAGGGAAGGCCTTGCTAATAATAAATACTATGCCACGTACCCACACCACGGTCGAAGTATTAACTTCGATCACTGCTGCTTGCCGGCATGCCCCGCATGGCATCTTATGCTGTGCCTCATTGACAGGTCTTCAGTAACCGGCGCGTCGCGCAGCGATTCCGGTGCACTCGGTGACGAGCATGACCTGTCCTCTTGTGGGCCTGTATGCAGGGCAATTGGATTTCAGCGCTCCGCATAGGGCAGAGAAGGCAAGCACGAAGTCCAAGGCCTTGATTTGCCGGCGCATACTCAGCGGGGTGACCCCATCTTGGCCGAATGGGGGTGGCATTTAAAGAAGTCTCCAGTCCGCATGACTGTCAGAGCACGCTCGTGTTTGCAAAGACGCTGGGGAGGCCGTTACTGTGTCGGCATGGCATTGCTTGGCTTGGTTGATTCGATTCTGCAGTGGCATCAATTCTGGTAGCATCAATCAATTGTGGTAGTCAGCATGGCATTGCTTGGCTTGGTTGATTCGATTCTGCAGTGGCATCAATTCTGGTAGCATCAATCAATTGTGGTAGTCAGCATGGCATTGCTTGGCTTGGTTGATTCGATTCTGCAGTGGCATCAATTCTGGTAGCATCAATCAATTGTGGTAGTCAGCATGGCATTGCATGGCTTGGTTGCTTCGATTGTTGCGGTGGCATCTGATTCGATTTTGCGGTGGCATCAATTCTGATACCATCAGTTCTGGTAGCATCAACTGTGGTAGTCAGCATGGCATTGCTTGGCTTGGTTGATTCGATTTTGCAGTGGCATCAATTCTGGTAGCATCAGTTCTGGTAGCATCAATTTGTCAATTGTGGTAGCAACAATTGTGGTAGCACCAATTGTGGTAGCATGATTTGCGGTAGTATAATTATTGTGGTAGCATCAATGGCAAGGTCTGCCTGGCATGTTTTGACAGAGCCGGGGGGGGGGTCAGGGCTGGCATGAAATTTGCATTTTGCCAGGTGAAGTCGTTTCAGAAGGCATGTGAGTGATATTTGCGCGGAAGGCTCAGTGTGTGAGTGTGTGTGTGTGTGTGTGTGTCAGCTTGCTTGGTGATTGATTGTGAGCCCCTTGTAACCTAATGCTGCAGTTCTGGCTCAAGTTGTGCTATGTCGAGTGCGGCCCTCCAGCATCTCCCTGAGGAATTGTGTATCGAGGAGCAGGGCCAGGATCTCCGGAAAGCACAGCAAGCAATCTACTTGCTCTATTTGCTCTGCCCGAGAAAGGCTGGTGATCTTGTGACACCTGCAGTACATTTCAGACAATTTCCAATTGAGAATAATTTGCTACCTGACATGTCATTGTTTCAATGCAACAACATTTGAGGAGATCTTTCAAACGGTCAAGAGACGGCATCAACAAACCAGAAGCCTGGATTCTGTCAGCCTGTAACAAGAACGTTAGAGAGCACTTTGGCAAAGATTGATGCAGCCCTTTTTTTTGCGCTTAAGCTTTCATCATTACAATTCCGTGTTCATTCGAGGCACAATCAAATCTTGGGGATAGTATACAGCCAATTCGATGTCGGGAACTACAGCAGCAAGAAAGCAGACGCCTCAACGAAAAGTTCCGGTGACTTGGGGCGAGGCAAAGAGGAAGACGACTCGGACGATTG